TGAGACCTGCACTTGACTTCTAGCCTGTAGAATAGAAGTCCATCTTGACTGACACCAAGTTTACGGTTAATTTGTTACAGCAGCGATACTGTATGCCTCCCGGCCAGCCATCTCTTCTCTTATCCTGATTCCATCTCCTCCCCCAGTCCCCTCAGTGAGCACCCCCGGGCCTTGCCACTCTTCCAAAGCTGCCCACTCCCCAGCAGAGCCAAGCACAGCACCCACAGCTTCCTCAAGAAAACGAGACATTAACCATGTGCCAATCCCAAATAACCCACTCACTGAGCACATTCACACCTTCTCCTGCCCCTTCCCCCACCCCCCACTCAAAAGTCTCTCTTGAGACCTGTCCCCCTCAAATCCACCCTCCACACTGATACTGAACCATAGACCTGACTTGGTAACCGCTCTCATTATACCCAGTCAGCAGCAACCATTATACCCAGTTGCAACCAACCACACGTTGCAACCTCAGCTTTGCAGCATGAGGCATAGGAATCTTCAGGTCTGAGGTCTGACACCTGCCTGCCTCATCGCCACCTCTCCTGGCTTCCTTAGTGCTGCTCCAGCCATGGTGAAGGGCCCGTGCTTCTCACCAGTTTCTTGTCTTTGTGTCATTGCCTAAGCGATTCTAATGGGAATGACTCCTCCTGTCACCTCCTCTGGCAGATGTCTACTCATTTCTAAAGAGCCAGCTGAGGCACCATCTCATCCAGGAAGGGGGCCCAGCCCCCCTACCTCCTTCTCCAGGCTCCTCATGTGTATCTCTACCTCTGCACGTGCCTTATTGTAATGTTCTGGTCTTTAACCCTGCCTCCCTTAGTGGACTGTGAGCTGTTGGAAGGCAGCAACTATATTTAATTCATCCTTCTGTCCTCAGTTCCTAGCACAATGCCTGCCTCCAAGTCAGTATATAGAATGAACAAACATTCACCATGTGTTTATTTCACAGCAATCGGACTAACATATGCACAGGCTGTCAGAGCTAGACGGGCCCTTCAGGACGATCTAGTCCACTCCCTGGTTTTACAGATGAGGAAGCTGAGGTCTCAAGAGTGCGTATACATGGCTATACTGCTATTTAGCAGTCAAGTCCAAACTAGGACCCACGTGGCCTGAATCTTAACTCAGGGCACTTTCCTTCAGTGAAACATAAAGCCAGAGACTTTAAATACACAAATATGTAGAACACATGTTCTGTGCTCTCTCCCCTTCCCTGGAGGGCTATGTTTTGTGGGCCCATGGATTCATTTGGTAGACTGGGCAGGCGGAGCCCTCAGCAACCAAACACTTCCCCCTGTGACTTGACTAAGCTGCCACTCAATGGACCCATTAATGGAAAGTCCCCTTGTTACTGGCTATCACTGCCACTAAAGAGGTTAAAGTCAAGCATGACTGTCACGGGATGTACACAGTGAAACGCCCGTCTCTCTAGGGGTCAAGATCACGCCCAGGTCCATGAGAGCCCGGTGGCCCATAGCGCTCCTCTGCTCTGCCCACTGGCTCTTCATCCCTCTGGGATTTTCACTTTAAAAACAATGAGAAATGTAGCAGTTCTTATTTTACAGAGATTAGCATAAAGAAGTACCAATGAAATTAAATGTGTATGTAAATGCTGGGAGGTTTTCACATTGAGAAAGGATATTGTGCAACCTGTGTTTTCCTTTGTCTCTTGTTTTTGAACTTCTCTCTGGCCATGTGGGCCTGGCACATCTTTCGCTAGGCTATGCAAATCAGCTGGCAAAGCGACAGCTATTCAGTCACAAATATTAATGCGCTCCTCACTAGGTGCTGTGGAAATGCATATGGTCTCACCTTTAAGGAGGTTCTGAGTCCACTGATTCAGAAAGAAAGGAGGTACTGTTGGTATGCTGTGGGAGGTGAAACATGTGCAAATAAGTGTGATCTGAGATAACAAAGGCTGAGCTTAACACAAAGCGCTGGGGGCTCAGAGGAAAAAATAACTTCTAGTCAAGCAGTTTTGGGGGTTGGGGGGTATGGGAGGGTGAGCTCCATGCTCCACCAAAAGGTAGGCAGGTTCTCTTTGGGCAAAGACAGGAGAGAGTCCAGAGGGAGAAAATGGCCCGAGCAGACGGTGGTCACTGTTGAACTCTGAACGGCTGGGCCAAAAGCAGAGAACTCAAGCATACTGAGCACCTACTATGTGTCAGACACTGTGCTAAATGCTTGGGATCCAGCCAGATGTTTCATCCTCATTAGAGTGTTGTGAGGTCTGTGATACTCTCTTCACCATAGTGGGAAAAGACTGAGGCTTGGAGGAGCTAAGAAACTGGCCCAAGGTCACCAAAGCTCTTTGTGTTCAAGTTGGGTCAGGACCGGGCTCTGGAGGGCCTTGGATGGCACCGTCTCCCAAGCTGTGGTGAGTCACTGGGCATTTGAGCAGCGACTTGCTGTGATCAGAACCGGAGCTTGGACACCCACATCCTCGCCCTGACTCACGGAGGGTCTCAGATGCTGCCCCTCCCTGGGCCCTGGCCTCCCAGTGTGCGAGCTAAGCAAATTCTCCTCCAGTCCTGAGATGGCAGGAGGCTGCGTTGGTTTCCTAGAGCCGCCATAACAAATTGCCGCAAACAAGTGGTTTTCAACAACAGAAACATTTTCTCTCCCAATTTTGGAGGCTGGAAGAAAGAAGCATCCTTCCTTGTCTTTCCTTAGCTTCAGGCAGCTGCCCGCACTCTGTGCGTGCCTTCACTTAGAGAATCTCGGCCTCTGTCCTCATGTGGCATTCTCCCTCTGTGTTTTCTCTCTGTGTGTCCAAAGTTGTATCTCCTTATAAAAAACACATGTTACTGCATTAAGACCTACCCTAATTCTGTATGACCTCATCTTCACTTCATTATACCTGTAAAGACCCTATTTCCAAATAAGGACACAGCCCCAGGTATCCAGGGGTAGAACTATAATCTATCTTTTGGGGATACACCATTCAACTCAAAGCAGAGGCCAAGACAGGACATTTCAGGACGGAGAGAGGAACAGGAGACAAGTAGATGCTTCTGAACTCTGGGGGTCACCTGGTGGCACATGCTTGCCATGAGGCCCCTCCTTTCATGGACAGCTTGCTTAGAAAGTTTGCCACCCAGACAAAACCCAGGCAGAAAATCAAAGGCAAGAGGAAGAAGTCAAAAGAAAGAAGACCCTGAGGCTTACAAGAGGCCCTTTCTCACCAGTACTGCCAGAGACGGGAGCCAGATTGGTTTGTCCCCTCTGAAGGTGGAGGGAGGAGAAATCACTAACCCCTGCATGGTTAGCTTTGAAACAGAAGCCTAGGACCCTGGCATTTTCAATTGTGACAATAGCATGTGCTAACTAATGATGACTGAATTTGCTAGTTGATGGTTCACAGTGCCCTGTGTTCACATGACAAGGAGGGCAGGATGGAGCCTCTTCTCAGAGCCACATGGTGAAGGCACTGCCCTGCTACTGCCAGTCTAGGGACCCTTTCTTTTTCTTTTTCTTTTTACATTTATTTATTCATTTTTGTGAGAGAGAATGGGGAGGGGCAGAGAGAGGGGGAGAGAGAATCCCAAGCAGGCTCCACACCATCAGCACAGAGCCCAACACAAGGCTTGAACTCATGAACCATGAGCTCATGACCTGAGCAAGAGTTAGATGCTGAATTGACTGAGCCACCCGGGTGCTCCCTAGGCACCCTTTCTGAGACCATCGCTGTTGCCTTGTTATTTCAAATTTGGGGGTGACATAGGGTAGTGTAAAGAGGAAGGGAAACTCTCAGGGTAAGATCTCTGTTAAGCACCTTAGTGGTCATCTATTCCAACCCCCACTTTGAAGCATGAACCTGCTTTAGAACATCCTGACACTTGGTTATCCATCCTTTGCTCAAATACCCTTGGTGGCAGGGAGCTCACTGCCTTATAAAGCTGTCTATTGCATCATTGAATTTCTGGCAATTAAGGATTGTCAGAAAGTTCAAACAAATCAAAACTAAAACTGCAACTCTGTATTCTCTACCCCTTTGTTCTAGTTCTGATTGCCTGTGTCTACTCAGAGCAGTCTTCTCTCCCTTCCCTATAACAGTCCTTTGCATAATAGAAATGGCCCCACATAGTCTTGGAATCCCCTTTATTGAGGCTAATCAGACTTCCTTCACCTTTTTCTCCTTCCCTCACCATTTGAGTTGACTTTATCTGAGTGTATTTATCAGAGTGATTTAAGGGGAGCAGTCACATTTAGAGACAAAGGTAAAATTCCAGTGGTCAGAACGCCATCCTGGTAGAGTAGGGTGGTGTGGTTCATGGCTCCACCACTGACCTGAGCAATTCAACTTTGGATAAATCCATCAGCAGGCTGATAACCACTAAAATGTAAGCTCATGGGGGCAGGGAGTTTGTCCAAGGCTGACCCCCCAGAGTCTCATGATGAACAAGTGAATGAATGAGTCAATGAATGGGGAAAACCTGGCACTTTCTATCTGCGGATTTTAGAGTTGGCCATTATTATTATTTTTAAATATTTTTATTTATTTCTAGGAGAGAGAGAGAGAGAGAGAGAGAGAGCGTGAGCAGGGGAGGGTCAGAGAGAGAGGGAGATACAGACTCTGAAATAGACTCCAGGCTCTGAGCTGGCAATCAGCACAGAGCCCGATGCGGGGCTCGAACCCACGAACCACAAGATCATGACCTAGGCGAAAGTCGGATGCTTAACCGACTAAGCCACCCAGGCGCCCCAAGAGTTGGCCATTATTAATTCCACTTCTCCTCTCCTTTACTTTGCTTCACTTTACTGGGTCTCAATTCCTACAACTAAAAGTTCAGAAACATAAAAGTTCCCTTTCTCACTTGACTGTTGTGAGGAAAAAAATAATTACAAAGTCTTCTGTGAGTAAAAGACCCTGGATATCCTGCATGAAACTGTTTGGTAGAAAACTCAGAAGTCCAAATATAGTGTATATAAACTCTTGCAGTCTTTATCACCAAAGCAAAAAGGTCTTTTACACTTTTCATTCCACGTCGAATGACTTGCACAAGCAGGCAATCAATGGCTGACTGAAGCGATTTAAGTTAATCACGAATAAGAACCACAAGTGAAAGTCTGCTAAGTTATTGAAACTCACTCATGTGTGAGAATCCACCCATTTTCAATGGAGATAAATTGAGAATGGAAGACAACGAAGGGAGTGTTCTTACTGATTCAGTGCCCGCGGAGACCGGAGACCGCCAGACTTCTATCTTCACACCCCTCAGCCTCATGCAAACCGCTTTCATGCTTCTGGAATGAGAGAATGGGCGAGAGGGAGAAGCAAGGCTGCAAGCTTGCCTTGGAATGGCTTCTGCCACTGACATGTTTTTTTGGTCAAGGGGTGAGAATTAAAACCAGAAACCCACCCACTCTCCCTTCTCCCTCCCCAGACAGATGTGGAGCCCAGAGGCACAGCAGTGCGGAGATGGAGGGTGGAAAGCCACTCCAAAATTTGTTCCTGGGCGTGGGTTTCAGGGCTCGCGACTACGTTGTTCAGCCACAGTAAAGCAAGCGTTATGCAACATCGTCAACGAGGAACACTCTCTGTTGCTATTTGGAAGCTGGCCATGGATCAAAATCAATGCAACCTCCTCCAGAGGTCAGCTGTTCAGAGAATCTTGGCTTCGACAGAAGAGTTCAGCTAAGCAGGGAATCAGGAGGATATCTAACCAGTTTTCAGACACAGGCCTGGTGGATGAGTGTTTCCACTGTTGTGATGGAGATGAGAGGAATCGGGCCGGGTGGTATGGCTCCCTGAAGTGTGTGGGTGGAATGGCTCCTACAGTCGGGCCGGCAGGGACCTGGGCTGAGTCATCTCTGCAACACCCCTCCGTTGGTTTGCAGCCAGCGCCGTGCCCCACCCTCCACCGCCACTATCATCACTCCGCATTTGAGCCATCTCACTTTGTAACTCCAGATCTGGGTCCCCTAATCTTATCTCAGCAGCGCCTTCGATTCCCTTCCTCCTCCTTCTTCTCAATGAACTAGACTCATAATCCCACAACATGGATCAATTACACATGTGAACTATTACCTGCATCATCCAGTTGTGGGGGGGTGGAGGGAGAGGGAGAGAATTGCTCAACTGTGAAAACTGGTAACCCCCAAACTACCAGGCAATGATCTTTCAGCATTTTCTCCTCCAGAGGCGGGACTGGAATTACTATTATCCCCATAAGCACATAAGAAAACGTAGGCTCGGGTAATTCATTTTCAGTGATAGATTTGAGAAATGTCTTGAGGGAAATACTAGAATTATTTATGCCTTCCTTATTTGTCAGCCAAGAATAGCTGCTGCTATTATAATCTTATAATGTCAGTGTCTGACTCTCTGCTAGTCTTGATTAAATTATCACTTTACTTGGTTGAGATATTTTGCAGCCCGTGAGAAGAACGACAACAGAAACCCAAAGCATTTGCTTGCACTAAATCTCTGGAGATGACAAAATTTGTAAAAAGGAGTCGAGGGTAAAACCCCAAGTTCCTGACTGAGTTCTAGCAATGAGATGACAAGTTTCTTCATATCATCTACTATTGTTATTAGAATGTAAAATCCATGTAATCTTGCCTTATGACTTACTTTTATCTTTAGCTACTCAGCTTCAAGAGAATTCCAGGAACTGTCTGCTTATTCTCCTCCATGGACCTTTTCCATATCTTACTTCTGGAGATTATGTTCAAGTTCTTTAGATTGTTTCTACGCTTGGAAATAGGAGAAACCACGTTCTGATGCATTCATTCACTGGTCTGTGGACACTGACTTCCTGAAATCAAGTACTACATGGCTTTTCAGCAATCCCTTGGTTGTTTCCTAAAGTTCACTCCAATTCAGTATGAGTCAGCAGTGAGGTGTAGCAAATGTGGGCTGGGAATCCAGAGATGGGTGGGCAATATGGTCCCAGCTTTGCGTGCCCCTAACTTGCTGTAATTGGCTTTTTAGCTGGTCCAGTGTCTTCATCTGAACAGGAAGGGAGTGGACTTCTGCTGCTACTCAAAGTGTGGCCAATGGACCAGAACATTAGCATCAGCGCCACCTGGAAGCATGTTAGAAGTACAGCGTACTGGGCCCGGTCCCAGACCTTACTAATCAGAACTGTTTGTTAACAAGACTTCTGGGAAGATTCAAAGGCATGTTCAAGTTTGAGAAGCACTGGGCTCCAAAATGCCCTCTCACAACCCTCATTCTTCCCTCTCCCCAAGAACATAGAAGATAGTTGAGGACATGTAGGTTTGACTCCTGACGCCACACAAATTCCATCTATGACTTGAGCAAGCTGCTTCCTCTCTGGACATGGTAACACTAAAGTGGTTCTCACGGTTAATGAAACCGAGGTAAAATGCCCAGTGCTCACACAACTCTAACCCAGCATTCTGCATTCCCAGCGTTGGGAAATGAACGATGAAATGAGGATCAAAAGCGCAGGCCGCAAAGAGTGGAGCCGGCACTGTTTTCACTTCAATTATAGGAAATATTAATGCAATTCTAACTGGAACTTCTTTTTCTTTTTTTCTTTTTTTTTTTTAATAACGCATTTAAGTCAGATCCTGTGGGCTCTCCTGGCAACCTTGCCAAACTCTGGAAACATCCCTCATTCTGAACTCCCATCCAGGCAAGGACTTTTCTCCCCAGTTCGCAGCTAAGAAAGACTAAGTAAACAAAAACTATTCAGATTCTGGACTTGAAGGCGTCGGGACCACACCTTGAGACGCAGGCCAAAAACCAGGGCCAGGAATCAACTCCACTACGCGCGGCAATAAGTCTCCGCCTCTCCACCCTCTTTAATGACAAAAACAGCTGGGAGGCGGGGTTAGGACCCGGAATACGAGCGGCCATTTTTTCAGGTCTCCTTGTTCCTCGCCGGACGCTAAAGATCAACGCACGAACCTGGAACGTACCATTCTTTTGATTCAAACATTTTATCCAAATTTGAGACATTCGTAGAGAGAGTGATAGAAATTAAGTTCTGAGGCCATTTTCACGTTTATGTTCTATACGAGTGGCCGCAGAATGCACAAAGGTAGGTGTTATTTCATTTTGTCTTCAATTCGGGATTCCACCACTTGGGCTCGTCCAGACGTCACTTCCGGGGCTCGGGCTCTTGAATACCGGAAAACGCGCGTGCTAGGCGGAAGGAGCTCGCGCGAGTGCTGCGCTGCCATGGGCCGCAGAAGAGCGTCAGATGCCGGGCCCCTCGGCCGGGCCCTTATCCGCCAGAAGACTCAGCGGAGCCGAAACCACCGTCACGCCGACTCCTGGGTAACAGAGCTTGTCCTTTTTCAGCCTTTCTTTCTAGTCAGGAGAGCCTGGATGTTGTGAAGCCAGGGGTCAAGGGTCACAGGAACCTTTTCTAGGGAAAATGACGCCGAGGTAGGGTTTTAAAAGATGAGTTTGTGTAGGTTACTGTCAGACGGATGAGCGAGACCTTCTAGCAAGGGCTAGAGGTAGAGGTTTGAAGGGAGGGGTGGTGTGATGATGAAGGTATTGTGAGAGCGTGAAAGGATCTCGAATGCCGGGGGCGTTTGAAAGTTTCAGAGTTGGAAAGACCTAAAAGCTAGTAATTGTGGTACTGTTCAAAGACTGGAAACTCCCAAGAGAGGCTGCTTGCCGCCAGAAAAAAACAAAATAGCGCACTATTTCCTAACGGTTTCGCTGGCACATGAACAGTGAGTGCATCTCCACAACGTGGCGAGCTGGCCTGATACCTCCCTGGGCCTGGGGGTGAACGTAATTTTAGGGTCCTTGAGAAATGGATGAGGTGGTTTGATTTGTGTTTGTTATTTTGACGACTCACACCCCCAGGTATTTGAGATTCAGTTGGTTTTCTCTGAGAACGTGCGCTAGAATAAAAACTACCCCTGGTGCTAACTCCCTGCGTGCCACTCTCACACCGTCTGATTCCCATCCGTTTCATGTGCAGAATAAACGGCATGCAGGGCTCTTCAGTAGTCAGCAGGTCCAAGTTACCCTGGGCATTAGACTACTGGTAATTTTAATTGATTTTGAAGGAATTGTTCCATATCCTTTAGGAAGTGGTAAGAAGACTGAATATGAATTCTAAAGAACTGGTTTCTAATCCTTACTCTGATTTTTTTTTTTTTTTTTTTTTTTTTGCTGGTCTGCAGCCTTAGACAAACCACCTGATCTTTTTTTTTTTTAATATTTTTATTTCTAGGAGAGAGAGAGAGCGTGAGCAGGGGAGGGTCAGAGAGAGAGGGAGACACAGACTCTGAAATAGGCTCCAGGCTCTTGAGCTTTTAAGTTTTTTTTTAATGTTTATTTTTGAGAGAGAGACATAGAGCGTGAGCAGGGGGAGGAGCAGAGTGAGAAGGGGAGACGCAGAATTTGAGCTGTCAGCACAGAGCCCACCGTGGGGCTTGAACTCACGGACCGTGAGATCATGACCTGAGCCGAAGTTGGATGCTCAACTGACTGAACCACCCAGGCACCCCTTCAACGTGTTTTTTACTGTGGGTCTCCATCAAAAATTTTCGACTACGTCTGCCAGGATCAGAGAGTCTGGATTCAAACACTGCCTCTGCCACTTAATAGCAACCCTAGGCAAGTTATTTTTATATGTTTATTTCAAGACTATTTCCTCATCAGTAAAATAGAGATAACAAAATTTATTTCAAAACGTTTTGAAAATTAAATGGAAGAATGAATGGAGAGTGCCTATTGTGAGGTAAGAAAGTGCTCTTTTCAGAAAGTGCTCAGTAGTAGTATTGACGCTAAGGGGCCTGACGCCACTCTCAAGACCACAGAATAGTTCCTTGAGAGTTTAGAGTTTGTTCAAATGTCAGAAGCAGAAGAGAGCAGCAGTGTTATTTACCGGTGTTTTCTTCACAGTTGCACACAAGTGAGCTCAATGATGGCTACGATTGGGGTCGTCTTAATCTGCAGTCAGTAACTGAACAGAGTTCCCTCGATGACTTCCTTGCAACTGCAGAACTTGCAGGGACAGAGTTTGTAGCTGGTAAGTGGTTTATTCCTGAGTATATAGGACACTGGTCACCTTTCCATCTTTGCTGACTTGATGCAAATACATCTGCTTGGAAGTGTTCCATGGACCCTACTAAACACATAAATGGGGTGCCTGGGTGGCTCAGTCTGTTAAGTGTCTGACTTTGGCTCAGGTCATGATCTCATGGTTTGTAAGTTCAAGCCCGCTGTGCTGACAGCTCCTCTATCTCCATCTTTCTGACCCTCCCCCCTCCCCCTTCTCTCTCTCTCTCTCTCTCTCTCTCTCTCAAAGTTTGTTTATTCTTGTGAGAGAGAGACACACACACACAAACACAGAGTGCAAGCAGGGGAGGGGCAGAGAGCCAGGAAGACCCAGAATCTGAAGTAGGCTCCAGATTCTCTGAGCCCGACATGGGGCTTGAACCCACAGATGGTGAGATCATGACGTGAGCCCAAGTTGGACACTTAACCAACTGAGCTATCCAGGTGCCCCAGAAAATGTTTTCTGATAGCATAGTTAGAAGCAAAATCCTGGGCTTGCTGCTGTTACTTAGGCAGTTTGAATTGTTTTTTTAAGGTACTTGTTGTCACAGTATAGTGAATTATCCATGCACGTAATCTGTTTTAGTCACTGCTCTCCCTTTGTGTGTGTTTGTGTTTTCTAAGCACTTGGAGAAGTACCTGGCACAGAGGTTGCATTATAAACTACTATTTTTATTGCTCTTTCATTATTATAAATGTTATTGTGTTGTTTAGCAAATTCATTGATTTGTTTAAATGGTTTTATGGGACCCCAGCTACTATCAGGGATAGATTATCTTGGCTACTGAGAGTACAGTGTTGAGTAAGATGATTTTATTTCTGCAAAATTCTGTTTAGGTGTCATGAAAGAAGTCTGTAGCAGACAATGGGATCATAAAAGATGTAGTTAGTATTCATTCTGTCTGAAAGAGGACTAGGGCCAGTCAAGGAAAGCTTTATGCTGGGGATGAGTCTCAAAGAGTGACACAGATGAGATGACACAGCACAGTATATATGAGCAGGCAGAGGACTCAAGGTAAGATGTGAGCAGCAGCTTAGTTTATTCAGAAAATGGTTAGAAGTTGGTTTTGCAGGTCCTGGGTGGGGCGCCTGGGTGGCTTAGTCGGTTAAGCGTCCGACTTTCGCTTAGGTCATGATCTCGTGGTTCATGGGTTTGAGCCCTGCGTCGGGCTCTGTGCTGACTGCCAGCTCAGAGCCTGGAGCCTGTTTCAGATTCTGTGTCTCCCTCTCTCTCTGACCCTCCCCTGCTCACACTGTCTCTCTCTCTCTCTCCTAGAAATAAATAAAAATATTAAAAAAAAAAAAAAAAGATCAGGTGGTTTGTCTAAGGCTGCAGACCGGAAAAAAAAAAAAAAAAAAGTTGGCTTTGCATTGGGGCGCCTGGGTGGCTCAGCCACTTCAGCTCAGGTCATGATCTCACGGTTGTGAGTTCGGGCTCTACATCAGGCTCTATGCTGACCCTCAGAGCCTGGAGCCTGCATCAGATTCTGTGTCTCCCTCTCTCTCTGCCCCTCCCCTGCTCATGCTCTATCTCTCATAAATAAATAAAGATTAAAAAAAAAAGTTGGCCTTGCAGGTGCTTGAGGTACACAGGGACAAGATGTGATGAGCAAATACTAGGGAGGTGGGCAAGAGGTTTTTTAATTTTTTAATGTCTTTTACTTATTTTTGAGAGTCAGAGAGTGACAACGTGAGCAGAGGAGGGGCAGAGAGAGAGGGAGACACAGAATCCGAAGACAGGCTCCAGCCTCTGAGCTGGCTGTCAGAACAGAGCCCGACGTGGGGCTCAAACCCATGAACGGTGAGATCATGACGCTTAACCGACTGAGCCACCCAGGCGCCCCCAAGTGTCCTGACTCTTGATTTTGACTCAGGTCATGATCTCAACAGTTCATGAGTTCGAGCACTGTGTAGGGCAGTATGCTGATGGTGTGGAGTCTGCTTGGGATTGATTCTCTCTTCCTCTCTGCCGCTCCTGCTCGCACAAGCTCTCTCTCTCCAAAAAAAAAAAAAGACTAAGTCATGAAATAGTGCATATAGTATGGTACCATTTACGTTAAGAAAATAATCCGACCAATCTATATTTGTATGTGTGTATTAGGAAATAACTTGGAGGCCCACACACTTAATCGATATTCTCAAAGGAGGGAACTGAGATTCCCAGGGTGGGCAGAAGGTTGGGAGTTGGTTATAGAGAATGTTTGCCTTTATTGAATTTTTTTTTTTTACAAGGAGAGTTTATGTATTATATAATTAAACTTAAAAAAAATTTTTTTTAAGTGTTTATTTTAGAGAGAGCCGGGGAGGGGCAGAGAGAGACAGAGACACAATCTGAGTGCAGGCTCCAGGCTCAGCTGTCAGCACAGAATCGGACATGGGGTTCAAACTCACCTTTAGGGGAGGGGTGAGGGACTGGAGATTAAGCCAATCATAAAGGCCAGTGATTTAATTAAGTGTGCATACTTAGTGCAGCCTCTATAAATCTTTCAAATTCCATTAAAATTTATTTCATACCTTTATGTCTCTCCCTCTGCCCCTCTCCCCTGCTTACACTTTGTGTCTACAATTAAAAAAAATAATTTATGCTTTCTGTTCCTTTCCCTTAATAATGTAGAGGTGATAGAATTTTGTTTCAGTTCTCTATAGCCTGCAGACACTACTGGACACACTGGGATAGGGATTCTTAACCTGGAAACTACCTGTTTCACCTGTGTGTGAACCCTGCCGATTGCATGCTGAATTTACGTGTGTGTGGATGGGTTAATGATCAGTGTTTTTAAGTATGTTTTCATAGGAGTCTCTGACTTAACAGGATTGCAGAATAATGAGAAATGCTAAATTTTGTTTGGGAACTTTTTACTTTTAAAAGATGGCACAGGTAGTGCTCACTTTATTTTCAGCAAGTGAGGAGAACATGTAATATTGTGATACTATGTATTTTGTCTTCACCCCTTGGTTCCTGATACAGGAGCCTCTAAAACCCTTGTTTGTAACTTCCTGAGTCAGGGGTGAGAGGAGTGTCTTTTGTTATTCATAATTAGCCCCTTACAATTTACTAACTTCCTGAGTTTATGCTAATGAGGTACTGTGGGTCCCTAGGTAGCTTCTGCAAGGGGCTGCTTGCTGTGGGAATCAACCCTGTGATTATGGGTTGCAATTTTTGGGACCTCAGAGGAGGTGCTAGAGATTGGGCTAATCACCAGTAACCAGTGATTGAATCAGTCGTGCCTGTGCAGTGAAGCATCCGTAAAAACCCATTCAGAGACTTGGCATCTGAAGTGGAACAGTCTTGTGGGACTAAGCCTTTAAACCTGAAGAGTCTGACACTAACTCTTGGTAGTTAGTGTCAGGATATGATGGAATTGTAGGACATCGAATTATTGTCCTGAAAGTTGGAGAGCTGGTTGCCATTGTGGGAAAGTACACACATTTTGGTGTCAGAAGCGTTGTGAGTAAAAACAGTTCAGAGACAAGTGGCTGTATTATTGTGTGTTACTTGCAGCAATCCTCAGAGCATTGCTACTGAAATGAGAAGGGTTACTTGGCTTTGTCCAAGGTTGGTAGTGGGTGCAGTAGAGTAAGGAATTTTAATGTTGAGTCGGAGAGTGGTTGTACCATATGATTTTAGCCAAATAGGGAAGGAAATGAAGCTATGAGCTGGATGCGGGACTGAGAGAAGAGGAAAGAAGAGGCTAGAGGCATGGACAGTGATTAGACAAAGCAAAGTGGGAACGTCAGGTAGGAGATCATTGGAAGGAGGAATTCGTGTGAAAGAATTCCCAAATACGAGGCTAAATGGGTGTGTGTTTTGACTCTTGGTTACAGATGGCATGAATGACAGTAACGGTTGGGTGGACTGTACCGGATTGTGCAGAGCAAGGTCATAGATGGTGTTGGTGGTCTGACAGGGGTAGCAGACAGCAGTCTTTGCTTGAAGGTCAAGAGGAATATTGCCGAAGATGTTCTGTTGTGTTTGAATAGGACCTTCCCTTAGCAATTGGGTAAGAAGCTTAACTGTCTTGTCTCAGTGGAATCATCTGCCCATGGAGACTAGGTGGCCATGTGTGGTGAAATAGAGAGACCTAGAGCAGGGCTTTCTGTACATGAACTTTACATCTATTTTATTCCTTTTTAGTTGTTATGCAGCATTAATGTAGGCATTTATCATAAATATCTTACATAAATTGCAGCTGTGCAGTTCATTGGTTTTAACTGGAGTGAGTCTTTTTGCTGAATCTTTGCTTCCTCACCCACTCCCATTGTCTTTAATTATTCTATGTTTGTAAAATGAGATTGGCCGTACTGAATCTTTACAGTCCCTTCCCACTCTTACTGTTTGTTTCCATGAAATGCATTCAGTATATGGAGTTTTATAAAATTAGTACTTGAAAAAATGGCTGGCCTTTTGAAACCTTTAGTAAAAATTATTTATTTATTTGAGAGAGACAGGTCCAGCAAGCAAGCACACACACGAACGAGGTGGGCAGAGGGAGAGGGAAAGAATCTTAAGCAAGCTCAATGCCTAGCACCCAGCTCTACGTGGGGCTCAATCTCACGACCATGAGATCGACCTGAGTCAGATGCTTAACCCACTGAGCCACCTAGGCGCCTCAAGGTTTTTTCTCCCATACCTTTTTTGGTAGATAACTTCACTGGGAAATTATTTATCCAAGGCTGGAGGCATGTAAATCAAGAAAGCTTTAAGGGGTGCCTGGGTGGCTCAGTTGGTTAAGCGTCTGACTTCGGCTCAGGTCATGATCTCTCAGTTCGTGGGTTTGAGGCCCGCGTCGGGCTCTGTGCTGACAGCTCAGAGCCTGGAGCCTGTTTCAGATTATGTGTCTCCCTCTCTCTCTGACCCTCCCCTGCTCATGCTCGCTCGCTCTCTCTCTCTCTCTCTCTCTCTCAGAAAAAAATTTTAAAAAATTTAAAAAAAAGAACTGGAACCTGCCTCAGATTCTAGATCTCCATCTGTCTCTGCCCCTCCCCCACTCACACTCTGTGTCTGTCTTAATTGAAAAAAAATCAAGCTTAAATTCTGTTTTTGGTACTGTAGTTTTGCAAGTAGTGATCAGTATTCACTATTTATATTGTCACTTTAGTAATAGTACTTTCTCTAAACAGAGAAGCTGAATATTAAGTTTGTGCGTCCAGAGGCCAGAACTGGGCTGCTGTCCTTTGAGGAAAGCCAGAGAATTAAGAAACTCCATGAAAAAAACAAGCAGTTCCTGAGTGTACCACGGAGGTGAGTTGGACAAGGATGTGGGACATTATAAGTCATAATAAGACCCCTGAGTATAAAATTTTTAATTTGGCGTTCTCTTTTTTCCTGTTTCCTTTCCTCAGATGCCATTATTAATTCCAAATCCCATTTTTTTTTGGTAACTTGTGGAATTATTCTTCTTCTCTGATTGTTTCAGACCAAAGTGGGACAAAAACACTAGTCCTGAAGAACTCAGACAGGCAGAGAAAGATAACTTTCTAGAATGGAGACGTCAGCTCGTCCGGTGAGTATTAGAAGATGGGAAGATTTGTCCTGGAATTCTGAGTCTGGCATTTTGGTGTATTTGCACTGCTATTTGCATTTTGAAGGCTTGATTCTTGCTGCTTCTTGCGCAGCCAGCATCGCTGGTACACATGCATCTGTGCACAGAGATGGTAAATTGATTACTCTGCTCCATTCCTGGCCGCCTCTCCTTTTCATACCCTTCTCTAGCCATTAGTCACCCTGGAGTTGATCGCGCTCTCTTGAGCATTCCTCCAGAAAGAGGTGCGTGGGAGAAATGTCATTTTGTGCGATAAACTTCCAGGGCTTAAATAGATTAAGTATAAAATTTCAAATTTGATTTTCCTGTTGACTCAGTAGAAAGTATATAAAACCAACTTGATAGTATTTGTGTGTGTGTGTGTGTGTGTGTGTGAGTGAGAGAGAGAGAGAGAGAGAGAGCTTATTTCTTAATGCAGTTAATTTGAGTGTTTATACTACTTGAAACCATCAGTTATAATCTGGCAAAGATATAAACTTTTCATTCTAAAGCCAGGCTAGAAGAGGAACAAAAGTTGCTCCTGACTCCATTTGAAAGAAATTTGGACTTTTGGCGTCAGCTGTGGAGGGTGATTGAGAGGAGGTAAGGTGCCATTTTCTTTTTGTCTAACCAAGACATTAGTGTGTTACATTAATTAGATTTGGGTGTTGATGAATGCTCAGAAGCTCAGGGCTTAAGCTATGCAAAAGCTATTGAGAATTATTATAAAAACTGAAAATGTGATGCAGTGTTTCTTTAAAAATACAGACTTTTTTTTTTAGTGAGCACATTGACAGTGTGTAGGAATGGTAAACATTTTCTGTAAGAGGAGTTCTAAAGTACCTCAGTTATTTCAGCAAATGTCTGTTGAGTCCTGTTGGAAATACTGTCTGACTGCGAAGAGACCACGAAGGGGCACACGGAGGAATGAAGTACAGTCTTGTCAGATGACTCAATAGCTAGTAAATCCAAAGTGCTTAGGACTCCTGCTGCCTTACAGCTAGAAGCGCAGTGGGCTGTGTCCTGACAGAGGAAGGAGCAGCTGATAAGGATTGGGCGAAATCAAGGAGTGGTTTGTTTTAATTGGAATTAGATAGTGGTGATGATTGCACAGCTTTGTGTATATACTGAAAACCACTGAATTGCATACTTTCCAAAGGGTTAATTTTACCTCAGTTATAGGTAAAAGGTGGATTACACCTCATTTTTTTCTTTCTTTTAAGACGTTTACATGCCTTCCCTATCCTGCTCCTTCAGGGGCAGAGATGGGGCTATGGGCTGGAATATGGGGAAGTCAGAGTAACAAGGCAAATCTCTAAGTCTGAGGAAAGTAGAAGCTTGCTGCTGGTTCGCAGGCTTAGGCCCCTTAGGTTCAGTTAGGCTTGAACGAGGCTTGGGAAGACGAACTGTGCTTCTGGGAACTTCTGTGGGGCAGAGTAGGTCTCTCCTTCAGTGCCTCCTTAGCAGGCAAAGATGTGTACTGCTGACATGCCTTTTTCTTATTTCCAAAGAGAAATAATAACAAGCTTTAAAATATTAAAACCTCACCTGGGAATACCCCCATCTGCACATTGACAGTATTGTTTTGTTTTTCTGTTTTTTTAATTTTAGATATTCTCCTGCTTCTTATATCGTCTCCCTTTCCTCTCTGTTCATTTTTTTCCCTTTTATTCCGGTTTCTGACTTTTACTTAAGAGGCCTTTCTCAGATGTCAAGTGATGTTTATTGTCTGTTCATATCTAAAAACGAAGCATTAGGAAGCAGATTGACAAGGCCACCTATTTGGGGGGAATTTGCCAACTGGTGACTTCACTGTATAGAACTGAACAGGGATCAATTTTATTTTGTTGGAGTACCCCAAGCTGTTAGCTCTATGGGTGTTCTCCCTAGATCCATTGAGTTTCTTTTAAAAATGTCTTTTTAACATTTATTCATTTTTCATAGGCAGAGAGTGCACATGGGGGAGGTGTAGAGAGAGAGGGAGACACAGAATCCAAAGCAGGCTCCAGGCTCTGAAGCTGTCAGCACAGAGCCCGATGTGGGGCTTGAACTCATGAACATGGGATCATGATCTGAGCTGAAGTCAGACACTGAACTGACTTAGCTGCCCAGGCGCCCCCAGTCAGTTTCTTAGAGATAAAAATTATCTCCTGCCAAGAACGCAGCTAGAGGTGGTAGTATAATGCAGGGTGGGTAGCCATGTTCACCATTGGGTATGTAGGCTGTTTAATCTACCCTTTTTCGGTATGGCACCTCTTTCCCGCCTTCTCTTGTTGCTTGAGGGCCCAATTCTGGAGCCTCTCAGGTTCATTTTCTCCATAATAAACCCTGGCTGTCTGCCATTGGAATAGGAGATTCGGGCGATGTAGCTGCCAGACTGGATGGAACAGGAGAGAGGACCTAAGAGCTCACCAGATAGCTGTCAGTCCCATTCCTCACCCTCGCCCACGGGCCTTCATCTGACGCCTCTAGTCCCGAGCTCCCTGGGGCTCTGAGGCGCGGACTGGCTCCTGGGTCGCGCTGCCATGTCTCAGTTCCTGCCCTTCTTCCTTTCTCTTCGTCCTAATGAGTGTCAGAGTTTATTTTCATTTTTGTGGGTGTTCAGAGGGAACAGAGGTAACCATATGTGTTCATTCTTTCACATTTGACATACTTTTATGTCCCTAAATAAGCAGCTGGTTTCCCCAGAGTGAGGGTGTAGCGTCATTAGATTTACAGTATTACTTGTTCTGTTGCTTTTATTATGTGGTGTGTTTCTGTTTATAAGAGAGAGCATATCTCTAGCTCAGTATAGTTTAGATCACATGGAAGTGGATCTGAATTACTTAGAAATATTAATAAAAGAACTACCACATTTTTTCACAGGAAATATTTATTGATGTATTTTGTATAGCAGATGTCTCCTTTTGGTAATAGGCTAGCAAAGCCATCTGCCTCTTTAATTTGAAGAGCAGATATTGGAAAAGATTTGTTGTATGCCCTGTCGTTGAAATGCAGGAAGCTGCTGGGGCACTGAGGGCGGAACACAGTATTCTAGTAAGATACGGCACTATTGTACTGTGTGAGCCTTTCCTGGTCTACAGCACTTTGCATCCTAATTCAGCACATGGAGGAAGCAGTCTTTTTTTCTTTTTAATGTTTATTTCGTTTTTGAGAGAACGTATGAGTGGGGTAGGGGCAGAGAGAGAGAAAGAGTCAGAAGCAGGCTCCAGGCTCTGAGGTGTCCGCACAGAGCCCGATGCAGGGCTGGAACCCACAAACCATGAGATCATGACCTGAGCTGAAGTTGGACAGTCAACCAACTGAGCTGCCGCCCAAGCACCCCGAAGAAAGTGGTCTTAATTTTGTCTTTTCTTACTGCTATTTCTGAGCTCTTTATTGTCTCTACATGTTTGGTGGGTAGACCTAATGTTTGTGGACCTTGCAATTTTAGTTTATTAGGTTTTTGTCCATGTTTTATAGTCATTGCATTTACTATTAAACCCTCAAAGTTTGAAAGTGGTAGATTTTACCTTAAAGAAGAAATACTGGGGGGCGCCTGGGTGGCTTAGTTGGTTAAGCGTCAGACTTTCGCTTAGGTCATGATCTCGCAGTTCGTGGGTTCGAGCCCCGCGTCGGGCTCTGTGCTGACTGCCAGCTCAGAGCCTGGAGCCTGTTTCAGTCTGTGACTCCCTCTCTCTCTGACCCTCCCCTGCTCACGCTGTCTCTCTCTCTCTCTCTCCTAGAAATAAATAAAACATTTAAAAAAAAAAAAAGAAGAAATACTGGGACCCACTTAATTACAGAACTTAACGACAATTTGTCTTGAATTAGCAAGTCTGTGAGTTCCTTTGAATCACAATGTTCTGCTGGAAATTTAACTAGTCTGAAAGAAAATGACCTGTGAGAAACACTTAGGTGGCTCAGTTAATCAAATCAATTAAGCATTTGATTCTTTTTTTTTTTTAATTTTTCTTTTTTTTACACGTATTTATTTTTGAGAGACAGAGAGAGACAGAACACAAGTGAGGGAGAGGCAGAGTGAAAAAGAGACACAGAATCCAAAGCAGGCTTCAGTCTCTGAGCTGTCAGCACAGAGCTTGACGTGGGGCTCAAACTCACAAACTGTGAAATCATGACCTGAGCCGAAGTCACACAGTTAACCGACTGGGCCACCCAGGCGCCCCTACGCATCTGATTCTTGATTTTGACTCAGGCCATGATCTCACTGTTCGAAAGTTCGAGCCCTGCATTCGGCTATGAGTGCAGAGGCTGCTTGGGATGGTCTCTCTCATCCCCGTCACCTGCGCATGCACACGTGCTCGCGCACTCTCTCTCTTGCTCTCTCTAATAAACTTTTTAAAAAAGAAAGAAAATGCATTTTGATTGTGAAAGCCTTGCCTTAAATGGTAAGCTTGACTTAATACATTTCTTCCTCAGTGTCCAACCTAGTTGCATATGCATTACCTCAGCATAGGCCAACCAGACATGGATTTTTAGAAGACTGCCCTAAGTATGTCTGCAGCTTATTTCCTTCTTTCCTTCCTTTAAATCCAAGTTAGTTAACATACAGTGTAATAATGGTTTCAGGAATAGAATTTAGTGATGTTATATGTAACATGTTATATGTAAGTGATGACTTATGTATAACACCCAGGGTTCATCCCAGACAGTGCCTCCCTTGTGCCCATCCCCCATTTAGGCCATCCCCCCCCCCCATTCAAACACCCCTCCAGCAACCTTCTGTTTATTTTCTGTATCTTACAGTTTAGTTCACTTAGCATAATACATTCCAGTTCCATCCACATCATTGCAAATAGCAAGATTTCATTATTTTTGATTGCCCAGTAGTATTCCTGTGTGTCTGTCTGTCTGTTGTATACACACAGTATACCACATCTTTATTCATTCATCAGTCGGTTGACATTTGAGCTATTTCCATAATTTGGCAATGGTTGATAGTGCTGCTGTAAACATTGAGGTGCCTGTGTCTCTTCAAATATGCATTTTTGTATCCTTTGGATAAATACCTAGTAGTGCGATTGCTGGGTCGTAGGGGTGTTCTATTTTTAATTTTTTGAGGAAACTCCATACTGTTTTCCAGCGTGGCTGCACCAATTTGCATTCCCACCAGCAGTGCAAAAGTGTTCCCTCCTCCGCATCCTCACCAACATCTGTTGTTTCCTGAGTTGTTCATTTTAGCCATTCTGACAGGTGTGAGATGGTATCTCATAGTGGTTTTGATTTGTATTTTCTTGATGATGAGTGATGCTGAACATCTTTTATGTGTCTGTTAGCCACTTTTTTGGAAAAGTGTTCTTTTAATGTTTTTTATTTATTTCTAGGAGAGAGAAAGAGAGAGAGACAGCATGAGCAGGGGAGGGTCAGAGAGAGAGGGAGACACAGGCTCTGAAACAGGCTCCAGGCTCTGAGCTGGCAGTCAGCACAGAGCCTGACGCGGGGCTCGAACCCACGAACCGCGAGATCATGACCTAAGTGAAAGTCGGATGCTTAACCGACTAAGCCACCCAGGCGCCCCAATCCTTTCTTGATTAATAAGAAAATAGGTATAAAAGGAACCTACCTCAACTTCATAAAGGCCATATATGAAAGACCATAGCTAATATCATCCTTAATGGGGAAAAACTGAGAGCTTTCCCAAGGTCAGGAACATGACAGGGATGTCCAGTCTTACCACTGCTGTTCAACACAGTACTGGAAGTCCTAGCCTCAGCAATCAGACAGCAAAAAGAAAAGGTGTACCGATTGGCAAGGAAGAAGTCAGACTTTAACTCTTTGCAAACAACATGATACTCTACTTTTGGAAAACCCAAAAGACTCCACCAAAAAACTGCTAGAAATGATATATAAATTCAGCAAAGTCACAGGATATAAAATCAATATACAGAAATTGGTTGCATTTCTTCTACACACCAAAAATGAAGCAGCAGAAAGTGAAATCAAGGAATCGATCCCATTTACAGTTGCACCAAAAAACATAAAATACCTAGGAATAAACCTAACCAAAGTGGTAAAAGTTCTGTACACTGAAAACTATAGAAAGCTTATGAAAGAAATTGAAGAGGACACAAAGAAATGGAAAAACATTTCATGCTCCTGGATTGGAGGAACAAATATTGTTAAAATGTCTATAGTACCCAAAGCAATCTACACAGTCAGTGCAATCCCTATCAAAATACCACCAGCATTCTTCACGGAGCTAGAACAAACAATTCTAAAATTTGTATGGAACCAGAAAAAAACCCAAATAGCCAAAGTAATGTCAAAAAAGAAAGCCACAGCTGGAGGCATCACAGTTTCAGACTTATTTCCTTCCAGCGGCAGTTGCAGCTGACCTTAAGAGCAACTTTCTTAGCCACAGAGGCAGGATGGGAGGGGGATCCTCCTAGGGAAGTGAGATATGGATTCCTGCTCTGCTAGGCTGCGGTAGACCCCACTACATTTGTGAGGGCTTTGGGGAGCTTGTATAAGCTACAGAAAGCTCTCATATTGCTGCATCTTCTATGTGACAGAAGTTAGACTCTTCATTCCTGCTTCAGTGTGGCATCTTAAGTCATTGTTTTCCTGTTTTGTATTTGTGCCATTTAAACACATTGTTGGAACTGATGGATGATGATTTGCTAGATGTATGCTTGTCAGCCCTGGGTTTAAAAAAGATACACGCTTGATAGTGGCTTCTGTCAGCAAGTGATTTATTAGTTTTCTTTTGAGGCCTTAACACCAGTGTAGATTAGGTACATGAGTATGCAGTAGACCTCATCTTGGATTGAAGTATTTGGAATACTCTTTTGTCTCACCAGGAGAGTTTATTAGAAGATCCAGTTGAAGTTTTAGCAGTGAAACATCATCAGGGTTCTGTAGGACATAAAACAGCAAGAGAATGTTAGCGATTACAGGCACGTCCTCTGGTCCAGACCGAGTTCCCTTTGAGCTCCATCATGGAGTAGCTGGTGACTTTGGACAAGTTACTTAACTGTCCTAAGCTTCAGTTTCCTCATACATAAACTGGGGATAATTGTACCTTAAACCGATTAATGTGCCAAGTGCTTAATATATGGACAGTGTTTGCTATTATGTGGTTAGTGTTTCACTTCACAGTGATTGGAGCATCTCCTATTTCTTTTTCAGTGATATCGTGGTCCAGATAGTCGATGCTCGAAACCCACTCCTGTTTAGATGTGAGGATTTGGTAAGTAAAGTGTGACAAAATTCAAATGTGCAGCTCTTGCAGCCGCAGTGGGAGGACAGCCTCACTGACAGCAGTAACTAGGCCAGCGTCCTGTCTGTCCTCCAGCTCTGTGTAGGGCCCCCTCCTCCCCGGGTCAGGCGCTTGCATACTGCTGCTGTTGAGACAGGTGTCGGCCTTCTAATCACCTGTGGGAAATGGCGAACATGAACTCTCTAGCTTCTCGTTTTAGGAGCCAGTTTGTTAATAGACATTTGCCAGTGTTTCTCATTTTTTAAGAGACATCAATTGAAATGACATTGTACTTTTTAGTCTCTTCTTACCCATCCTGTCAAGTGTTCTCTCTCCTCGCCTCTTACTTATTACTTCCTGTGATATTTTACAAGTGAACTACATTTGTACAACACCACAGGTAGTAATAAGGTGTGAAGATTACATGAAAGAATGTAATACGGGCTTTGAATTAGTAAAACACTGTACACATGTGAAATACTCCCTATTTGTGTTTGAGAACCATGATAGTAACAGTACAGAATATTTTTAAATCCACTGGTGAGAGACACAAATCGTATTTGTGAAACTCTTACGAAGTCACACGCTGGTGTGTTACCTAATGCAGAACTGTGGTGGGAATTAGTATCAATCATTGAGTCTTGGTTTTCTTTTAAACTTAAAAGTATTTTTTATGTTAAAAGATGAGATTATTATTGGCTGTCATCATTTGGCTAAAAAAACCATCCCTGCTGGCTGACAAATCTAGTTCTGCAGTTCTGTGTAAAAGAAACAGTTCGGCAGTATCAAAGAGAGGGACAACATTATTTAAAGAAAAAAGGCCTATTATCCTTCAACAGGGTGGGAGAGCATTTCCTTTTACCCTTTCCAGTTTTTACGTTAAGGGTATTTCTAAGTATACGTGAGCTACCTTTTTCAGAGCTTGCCGAAAGAATCATTAGAATGTACCAGGATGAAAAATCTGTACATTAGGATTGACTTAGAACTGGGGGCAGTAGAAACTTTTAGTCCTATTTGGGCATCTTCAGTATAATTCGCCCACTTTTTACTTGTTTGAAGAGGCCTTTCTAAATACTTTTGTCTTGCCTAGGAATGTTACGTGAAAGAAATAGATGACAGTAAGGAAAACGTCATTCTGATAAATAAGGCAGACTTGCTGACTGCTGAGCAGCGGGGTGTCTGGGCCACATACTTTGAAAAAGAAAATGTGAAGATTATCTTCTGGTCAGCTTTGGCTGAAGCCATTCAACTGATTGGTGACTCTGAGGTAACCGGGGGGCTTTTTCGGGTTGGGTTTCTGGGAGGAGGATTTCAGTTTTTGGTTAGTGAGCTTTGGGTTTGTTTGTTTGTTTGAAGTTTTGTGGGAATTCGGGGGTTTTGTTGGTTCCCTAAATGCTCTGGTGCTAGGATGGTCTACACAACAGGAAAACGAGTCGCAAGGCTGCTTTCTCTGGTTGTCAAATAGTCTGACCTCTCTGGGGCTCTTTGTTACACACTGATACCAGCTATAATTTTTACTTTTAGAGTTTTGGCAGGAAGTTATATAGGAAGTTTCATAACGACTTCATAATAGTTTTTAACAGGAGGTAGGACAGCCACAGCCTGTACCTCTACTTTTCAGGACTTGATTAGAATCTCTTTTGACATCGTTTTCAAAACAAAGAAATGAGGTAATTCTAAAGCTATACCGTGTTCTTTTTTAACCCACATTTTACAGAAAAAGTTTGCAGGGGGGTGTCTGTGAATGTGTGTATGTTTTACTTTATCTTTTGAAGTTTTATTTATTTATTTATTTATTGAGAGAGAGAGAGAGAGAGAGAGAGGATCCCAAGTAGCACAGAGCCCAATGTGAGGCCCGAACCCACGAACTGCAAGATTATGATCTGAGCTGAAGGCAGATGCCTAACTCACTGAGCCACCCAGGCGCCCCGTGTGTATGTGTTTTAAGTAATCTCCACACCCAGTCTACACCCAGTGTAGGGCTTGAACTCACAGATCAAGAGTCACATACTCCACCAACTAAGCCAGCCAGGTGCCCCTGGGGTTTATTTTCTAATAAAAAATATAACTAGTCGGGCAATCTGCGGGCCTCAGTCGGTTAAGCGTTCGACTTCGGCTCAGGTCATGATCTCACAGTTCGAGGGTTCAGACCCTGCATCGGGCTCTGTGCTGACAGCTAGCTCAGAGCCTGGAGTCTGCTTTGGATTCTGTACCTCCCTCTCTCTCTGACCTTCCCCTGGTCATGCTGTCTCTCTCTCTCTCTCTCTCAAAAATAAATAAAACATTGAAAAAAAATTTTTTTTAATATAACTAGTTAACTAATAATAACTATGAAATGAAATTAGTAGAATCTTAGAGCTGGAAGAGACGTAAAGTAATATCTTTTTTCCTAGCCTTCTCCTTTTATCTCTGTCAACCATGTATTGGTTTGTGTGTTGAGCTGCATGTCAGTAAGTACAGTATCCTCTCCTGCTGAGCTTCGGTTAGCTCCCCTCCATGGCACACAGTCGTATAATCTCTCTGCGACTGCATTAAATAACAGAGACCAACTAGCTTACTCTATCTACATTTAGAAAGTTCGTCAGGGGTGCCAGGGTGGCTCAGTTGGTTCAGCACCGAATTAATTTCAGCTCGGGTCATGATCCCAGGGTCATGGATCTAGCCCCATGTTGGGCTCCATGCTGAGAGTGGAGCCTGCTTAAGATTCTGTCTCACCTTCTACCCCTCTCCCCTGCTCGCGCTCACACGCTTTCTCTCTAATTTAAAAAAAATTTTTTTTTAAAAAGATTTTCAGTTTAGTGAAGCTAAGTTGGCCTCCCTAACCCTTGATCTAAGGGCTCTTCCTTTGTCCCCTTAGTTTTCTCTTCTGTAAATTATATATATTTCTGCCTGTATATTCATCATGGACACAATATCTGGGGCGCTCTTTATCTCAAGTGTCTATTTGCCGGTATCAGGATAACACTTAAAATTGGTGGCACCTAATTGAATATGTTGCCCTAGATATGGTTTGCCCAGGATATATACAGACGGACTATTATTTCCTGTGATCAGGATATTCCTAAGGAATTCAGAGTTTTTGTTAATTCACCCCCTTTCAAAGGAGCTATATTATGGTTTGGGGTAATTTAACCTGTGCACAACCAAATCCCTCAAATATCTTTTAAAAAAGAAATAACTTAATGCAAATCTCATCCCATATTTACATATGGAAAAAGTTTTTGTGTTTGTGGTTGGTTTTTTTTTCGTTTGTATGTGAGAGAGAGAACGCGCGCAAGCGAGGGAAGGGCAGAGAGGGGGGTGGACAAAGGATCCACATTGGGCTCCGCATTGACAGCAGCAAGCCCAGTGCGGGGCCCAAACTCCCAAACTGTGAGCTCATGACCTGAGCTGAATTTGGATGCTTAACCAAGTGAGCCACCCAGGCTCAACTTAGGACAGTACTGTTCCTCTGAAATATTGTTAGCGATTTGGGGCTAAGGTAGAGAATTCATTGTGATTGTGCGATTTGCTTTTCTCTCCTAGCTTTGAATCTGCAGATTTTGTGTGTTTGTCCTTCTGTATATTCTTTCGAGTCATCGATGTTGTTAAACAGATCAGAACCAGTGGGAGGGCTCTATAACCTTTTGTGAACCTCCTCAGCACTTGGTACCAAGCATTCTGATGTGATGAATACAGATGTGTTTGCAAGGGTAGAACAGTAAGAATCATTCTGTTGTTAGTGTTGTTACTAAAAGCTAACCCATAGAAAGTTTATTCTGTGCCAGGCACCACTGTCCTAAGCACTTTATATATTTTATTCATTTAATCTTCTCAACAATAAGTGTAAGTGCTTATTACCCTCAAGGTATTCTGGCTTCATAGTTTGCCCTCTTAACCATTATTTCTGTTGTTTCAACTCTTTCCTGGAAGCCAGCATCTTATTGAAGGTTTTTGTTGTTGTTTTAAATTACCAAAAATGAAAAAAGGATTAGTGTCTGTTAATTTCAGGTATTCCCTGAACTGTTAACCAAGTAGTACATTCTACTTTTTTTGCATGATCTGTTCTCAGGAAACCCTGGCCTCCTTTTGATGACTGTCTTTTTAGGGCTCACCAGCTACCTTGTGGACTTACTTTCACATCTAATTCTGAGTTAACAGTGTGTGGTTATGGGAGATACTCTTTCCTCCTTACGTTAGCCATCATTACTAACTTAATTAAGTCCTCCCAAGGCTTCTGAAGTCTGGTGTTTTTCAAGAATTCTCAAGACCAATAACTAGTTACTCTTGTAATATATCTGTAATCTCATCTGTCATTTGAGTATCAAACACAAACTTACTAGGAATAGTTTGATAATCACTGTTCTCGACTATCTGAAACTTGGTTCTTCCTTTACAGTTGTTTAGCCCCTTCTTATCTGAAAGAACCTGACAGTTTTCAAGCTGAGCACCTTAGTTTTCTCTTGACCATCTGTTAAACTGCACTGTGTTTTCCCAAGGGATTGGCTTCTCCGTGCGTGTGTGTGTGTGTGTGTGTGTGTGTGTGTGTGTGTGTGTGTGATGGTAACTGTCATGAAGTCCTTCTGTTGTCTTTATGATTTTTCCTGAACCTAAACTGCTTCTAGTTTTAGGTGGGGTCTTTTTTAAAGTTTTTATTTATTTTGAGAGAGAGAGTGCACGTGCATTGGGAAGGGCAGACAGAGAAGGAGAGAAAGAGAGAAATTCCTAAGCAGGCCCTGCACTGTCATCGTGGAGCCCGATGCACAAACCTACAAATCGACTGAGCCATCCAGGTGCCCCAGTTCACATCCTTGTTATCTGTTTCTTTCATATTTTGAAATGATCCAGAAGAGCTCATGGTGAAGACACACAGTCTTCTTTATGCTCATTGGTCATTTCTCATAGAAATGGTCCTCAGTTCTATGGTTCTGTTAAGAAGCCATGCAGTTTTGTTGTGGGTTTTTTTTTTTTTTTTAAGCTTTTTTTAGAGAGCATGAGCAGGGGAGGGCCAAAGAGAAATAGAGGGGGAGAGAATCCCAAGTAGGCTCTGCACTGTCAGCGCAGAACCCATCATGGTTCTTGAACCCACGAACCATGAGATCATAGAATCGAGCACCTAACCAACAGCCACAGAGGCGCACCCTCATGCTGTTTCTTTTTGACTTACCAGGCTTGATCATGAAATCATGTCCATTTTCTCTGACATTTGGTTTATGTCTCTACTTTTCTAAAATTTAGGATACCTGTTTAACTCCTTCTGTCTTCTGTGATGGTTGCTCGTTCTAACATTAGGTAATTTAGAAATGACACAAGGTTTGCATCACTTCTAAATCCAGACTATTCTGTTGTTGACACAAATCAGTACAGTAATACTGTAAATTGTCTTAGTTTTGCTTTAATATCAGTAGGAATTCAGAAGAATTAACACATCCCTGAAGAGTAAATGATTTTTATCTTTTTTTTTTTGCATATATGAGTAAGTTTCACATGTGGAGTTGAGTTCTGTTGCTTATTTCATCCTGAGGGAGCTATGCTCCACAGGATTTATAAAAGGCAATTATGAAGGAATAGGAGTGTCCTTAAATATGCAAACCACAGTCTTTTATTTTTTTTTATTTTTTTATTTTTTACAAATAGTTTATTGTCAAATTAGTTTCCACATAACACCCAGTGCTCATCCCCACAAGTGCCCTCCTCCATGCCCATCCCCCCTCCCCCCCACATCCATCAGTCCTCAGTTTTTGTCAGCATTCAAAAATCTCTCATGGTTTGCCTCTCTCCCTTTCCCCCACCATTTCCCCCCTTCTTCTCCCCCTTGTTCCTCAGCTAAGTTCCTCCTAATCCTCCTATACGTGCAAACATACGGTATCTGTCCTTCTCTGCCTGACTTATTTCGCTCAGCATAACACCCTCAAGGTCCATCCATGTTGCTACACATGGCCAGATTTCATTGTTTCTCATTGCCATGTAGTATTCCATGGTATAGATAAACCACATCTTTTTGATCCATTCGTCCGATGATGGACACTTAGTCTCTTTCCATGTTTTAGCTATTGTGGAGAGTGCTGCTATGAACATTGGGGTACATGTGCTCCTATGCATCAGCATTTCTGTATCCTTTATGCAGACCATAGTCTTTTAAAATGCAAATGTAAAAAGAAACTCAAGTTATAAATTCTGCCCTTCTTGCTTTGTGCAGAGAAGAGAATGTTAAATGTTTTATTGTTGATGAGAAATGCTTTGTTCTATAGCCCATTGTGAAATGGCATACTGCCAAAGAATTCAGCTTGACATGGGCTTTTCTAAACTCTTGTTTTCTTTAAAGATGTATCTGTTACAAAAATAATGCATGTTGTTTGTACAAAGTTCAAATAATACAGAAACTCATAAAGTAAAGGCCCACCATCCGCAGAGGGCACCACAGTTGATAGTTTGGTTACATCCTTGCACTGAAAGGCTCACGTTGTTTCCCTGTTTTTACCTTTTCTAGTCTCCTTCCTGACTTTTCTTGTCCTCTGTTCTTCGATAACCAACTCTGAGTACTCTCACTAGAGTGAAAGATGCCATTGTTCTACCCTTCTGAGCTTTTGTGCCTTTTGTTATTTCATCAGGAACATGTGGACGAGGGTGCTGGAGAAGCCACTACAACGGGGTCTGAAAACTCCAGTTGTGATGGGGCTGGAAATCCTCACGGTGAGACTGAGCGTCTCCTGGACAGGGGCTCCCCCCCGCTTGGTGCAGTTGCCACTAGCGATGAAGACGACAGTGAGTACGAGGACTGTCGGGAGGAGGAGGAGGAAGTTTGGCAGACGTGTTCGGAGGAGGACAGCGACCCTGACGAGAAAGCCTGTGGCTGGGACAGGAAGGAACGCTGTGCCGGGGATTGTGGGGCTCAGGGCAGGGGCGCCCTGCAGAAGAGGCACACGCGCAATTTTAGCCACCTGGTCTCAAGGCAGGAACTATTGGAGATCTTTAAGCAGCTACACACTGGGAAGAAAGTGAAAGACGGACAACTTACTGTTGGACTGGTAAGGTGAAATCGCTCCTGAGATTGTTACCACGTGGGTATCCCTATATCCGATCCAGTGGTAGCTACACTGGAACCCAAGGGACTAACCAGGCTTCTGGCATCACTGGGAACAGTATTGCCCACTTGTTGCCTGCTGGCATTGTGGGAGTAGGCAGTGGGACAAGAAAAGTCAACAGTGTACTCTTTCAGGGCTTACGTTGCATATACCTCTTTTCATAGTAATTATCGTCTCCCACCTCCTTCCAGTTCAGCCCTGCCAGACACGTGACTTCCCAAGAGGTACTAGGGTGAGAGTACTTAATTTTAAGACTGTAGTCACACTTCCAGGTCAATATTTTTACCTTCTGTAGGCTTTTGGTGTCAAGTGATCCTTGCTAACTTGTACTGTAAATGTCCCAGATGCATTTTAGGGAGAATCCCAACATCTTCAGGCCAGGCAGAGTGTGCCTGGTGCTTTGGTTGCATAAGAATAGGGAAAGGAGGGGCGCCTGGGTGGCTCAGTTGGTTGATCCTCTGGCTTTGGCTCAGGTCATAACTCACAGGTCCGTAAGTTCCAGCCCCATATCTGGCTCACTGCTGACAGTGTGGAGCCTGCTTCAGATCCTCTGTCCCCTCTCCCACTCGCTCACATGTGTGCACTCAGCCTCAAACAAAATTAAAAGAAAACAAAAAAGAACAGGGGAAAGGAGGTCACATCCCTAGCTACATATACACTAATTCTAGAGGTGACTGTGAGAAGTATCCAGCTCTCAGGGTGTGCAGCATGGCTCCGGATGGCCCCATATTTAGCTGAGGAAATGTAAGATGTTAGAAATGTTTTATAGATCTTGCGTCCAGGAAAACAAAACAGCGAAGGAAAGTAGATCATGGCAGGTTTAAAACCTTCTAGCTTTTCAGTCACATGCCAAGTAGAGCTAATCCTAATTGTTTTGAAGCACTGTCCCCCTCCCAAAGCGTACTTAAAATGATTCTAGCAGTTTGACACTTTATTTTAGAATACTAGTTTGAGGAATTGTCCCTCGAGCCAGGCAGACCTAGTGTAATTCCCAGTTCTGCAGTGGAACTGATTTACTTGCTATAAACCTTGGGAAATGTGGCTGATTTCTCTTAGCTTTACAGCTCCATTTCTATATATTATTGCTAAAAACTCATTTTCCACATGCCACCAGAAAGCCCAGCTTCCTTAAAAGCTAGTTTATTTCTCACATTTATGGAAATGCTAGGCGGCCTCTCCGCTTTCTGAAATCTTACTTTAGAAATCTTGAGAATAGGCTGATTTACTCATTCTGTGAGCATGTACTGATCACCGGCCATGTGCCAAGTGTCCTGCTCGGCCGTGACACTGTGTCAGGAGACCAGACACCGTCTCCAGGCTCCCAGAGCTGCTGACTCCAAGCATGGGGCGTGGCAGAGAGGAGGAGGTCCAGCGCCCTATGGCTGTTGTGTAGTGAGCCTGGTCTTCAGGAGATGGGGGAGATGACAGCAACAGAAGTCCCCTGTCCCCCAACAAATGTCATGATATGTCATGTAATCAAGATCTAGATAAACCCAAAACGTGAGAATATTGGAATTAATGAGCAGTTATCTGAAATCTTTGTGTAAGAGGTTGCACCTTAAAGTATAATGTAAGGTTTCAACAAAGTGACGGTGGAAGGGCCTTCAGACAAACAAGGTAAACGTTTAAACCGAGCCCCGGGAATGGCAATATGTCCCCGGGCCAGCAGGTGGCAGTATGGCCAAGCGCGGAGGGGGCAAGAGCAAAGACTGGAGCAAGGGAAGCGATGTGTTACGAGGCCTGTGCTGGAGGTGGAAGGGGTGGGGTTTTATGTTCCATGGGCTCAGTGTTTGTAATCTTCCAGTCATGCTCGTGGAGGATTCTCTGGAACAGGCAAGAGGGAATAGGATGTAGAAGTACAGGGAAAAGTGTAAGAGAGAGCCTGGAGCAAGGCTGGCATGATGTAAGCAATTATTTGAAAACCTTTATATGATTCTGCTAAAAGTCATTGAAGAATTTTAGTAGCTCGTTAACCCACATCAAGTCCATATGCCACCTAACATTTTTAACCAACAAGATAGAAGCTTGCTAGTAAGTTCTTAAAAATTAAAGGTGATTGTGTGTTGTGATGATTAACATACCTATCTGATGCTTGACTTCACCGACAGTGTGGAAAATACAACAGAAACTGAAATGCCTGTGAGATGGGACATCACGGGGAACACTGGGAACAAGAGGCTGAGGTTTACTGTAACATCTGCTGTTAGAGCAAGACCCTAAAATAAAATGTCTCCTCAGTGGAGACCCATCTGAATCAATACATCCACACTGCAGGGGAAAATTGTCAGCCAACAGTATCCATTCAAATAATCTTTTGAAGCAACCGGACACTTACACTGGGGTCGCACTATGTATGTGTTATCTTTGGGTCTGATAGATGTACTGCCGGTGCTGTACGCTGGTAACTCAGGTGTCTCCTGCAGGTGGGCTACCCGAATGTTGGTAAGAGTTCCACAATCAACACCATCCTGGGCAACAAGAAAGTGTCTGTGTCTGCCACCCCTGGTCACACCAAGCATTTTCAGGTATTTCTGCAGCATCAGCCTCTCTCTCTCTCTCTCTCCGTCTTAGCCAGTTCCTCCCTCAGGGTATTTCTCTAAGTTCTTCACCACTCGTGTGGTGGGCCTTTCCCTTCCTCTGCTTTGTGCCCAACATAAGCCTCTCACTTGTCTTTCAGACTCTCTATGTGGAACCTGGCCTCTGCTTATGTGACTGCCCAGGCCTGGTGATGCCGTCCTTCGTCTCTACCAAGGCAGAGATGACTTGCAATGGAATCCTCCCAATTGACCAAATGAGAGACCATGTCCCGCCTGTGTCACTAATATCCTTCCTGCTTTGCAAAGATGAGCTGTTATGTGTATGCTAGGGCTTCAAGTTTGTTTTGGACTTTGCTTTGCATTGGATGTATTCAGGTCTGCTGTTGAACAGAAAAACCTGAAATACTAGTGATCTGCCCAAGTTTGTACATGAGGTAGCAGCAAAATTGTAAAACCTCATGTCCTGACTGTAGCAGTGTCGCCTCGTATCAGTGGAAGAGCCCAGTCTTGGATCTCAGCCCCTGGTTGCAAACCTGAATCCGGACACTGCTATTTTGACTATTTGTGTGACCTTGATAAGCTTGCTTAATCTTCCAGAAACTCTTTGCTGAAAATTGCCAGTAATAATAGCTACTTCACAGTTGATTGTGAGGATTTGTTATAGCTAGTAATATTTACTCCATGCTTACTGTGTGCTTTACACAGCACTTATCAAGCGATATCACATTTAATTCGTAAAATAACCCTTGAAGTGGGTCCTACAATTGTTCCCATTTTTTCAGCTTGAGGAAAGTAAAGCACTGAGAAGTTAAATAGTTTGCCAAGATCTAACAGCTAGTAAGGAGCCAGTTAGGAACTCTACTAGCATCAAAAATTAGGACATTGGAATTTAAAACCTGTTATTCATAATAACATTAAACAAATGAAACAACTAGGCATAGCTTTGATAATGTGAAATTCCTGTGCACTTAATAGTGCAAAGCATTGTTAAGATGAAGAAGACCTAAATGAGTGAAGAGGTAATACATGTTTATGGTTGAAAAACTTAGTACTGTTAAAGTGTCAATTCTCCTCAAGTTGACATAAATTCAGTGCAGCCCCAATCAAAATCCCAGCATGCTTTTAAAGTTTTAAAGTATACAAATAGATCTAGAAAAAAAGGTGTGTGTGGTGGGGGGAAATTCTGCTGCCTTCCAGCATAATGAGTTAAGTGAAGCACCTAGGTTAGTGTCTGACATGAAAAAAATATTCAGACTATTCTGTTACGAACCGCAGTGTCTTAAGACCTTACCCTACTTACAAGCCAGCAGTTTAGTCTGTTACTGTTCCCTGGGTGCTGGAGGAAGACCGGAGACTCCGTGACACTGGCCTGCCAATTGGTTAATTTACGAGGGTAAAAGTTCTGGCCCTGTACAGCTCTTGACAGGGTTTTGTTTTTTTTTTTTTTTAATAGTTTATTTATTTTTGCGACAGAACATGAGTGGGGGAGGGTCAGAGAGAGAGGGAGACACAGACTCTGAAGCAGGCTCCAGGCTCTGAGCTGTCAGCACAGAGTCTGATGCAGGGCCCAAACCCACGAACTGCGAGATCATGACCTGAGCTGAAGTCAGACGCCTAACCGACTGAGCCACCCAGGCGCCCCTTGACAGGATTCTTAATGACTGCTCTGAAGGCCACAGCATTTTACTTACCCCAATTTGATTTCTCTTTCTGTAAGAAATGAGAAAGAATTCATTTACCAGGATCGATAAAATACAGTATATCACTCAAACAGAATAATATATAGTTGTTAAAAAATACCGCACTCAGTCTACCTGTGTTAACCTGGGCCAATCTCAAAACATCACGTATACGGTGTTACACCATTTCTGTGAAAAATGTCACCTCGCAGTAAAAAATGTCACCTCGCAGAACAGTACTTTGCATTAACAGACAGCCGTGAGTGTGAAGGTTGGGGGAGTGGGCCGGCGGCTGCCGCACACGAACCGCTTACCTCCAGGTGGCAGCGGGCTGGCACAGTGTCCTCAGGGTTTGCGTTTATTGTACGGTTTTTAACAGGTGAAATTGTTACCCCTCCTGGATAGTTGGGAACGCAGCTGTTACATTATTTATGATTTTCTGTATATTTTCCATTTCTCTCTGAATTAATCAGATGCATATTGAGCATTTATTACAAGCCAGGTTAGGTTGGGTTCTGTGGAAGCTATGAGCCTGAATCAGCCATGGACCCTGCCCTTTCTGGGTTTGGTCGGGGGGGGGGGGGTGCCATATGGGATACGTGTATGAATAATAGGTACAAGGTAGAGTGGTGTAAAGAGAAAGCATTTGAAAATTAGTGAATATTGTACTTCTTTTCTGGAGACCTAGAATGGCTTCGGTCATAGGAGTGCTAAAGTAGCATATTCTCAGCATTAAAGGCATGTCAGAAGCCATGGTGGGAAGGGGTCAGTTCAAGGTAATGGATTCCTTGACAAGCTTATGTTTGCCAGAATATTCCGAGATATGTTTTAGAAGCCACCTATGGCATCAATATCATAAAACCTAGAGAGGATGAAGATCCCCATCGACCTCCAACATCAGAAGAATTGTTGACAGCTTACGGATGTGAGTTGTGATTTATTTTAAAACATGAACAATAACAACAAAAAAAAAAAAGAACCAAAAGTAACATCATAGTTAATGAGAGAAACCATTCCTGCAGAGATAGAAATTCACATTTATCCTAAGTGTTTGTCACGTCGTCTCCCAGGGTTGATGCTTTTGTCTCTGTTGTGGCCTTGCCTACAGAGTGGCCTCCAGGTAGCTGCTCTGGGGGCGGGTTCAGAGCGCAGCAGTGCAGGAGGGGCAGCTGACCGCCCCGGGAGCGGCATTTTGCTTCTGAGTGCTAAGCGCTTTCTGGAGTTAGCGGAGGGGCTGCTTTGACTCCAGGTGCCCCTGCTTTCACTGGAGCAGTCGGCCCCTCGTGTAGGAGGCCTAGATGCAGACTGCTGGAAAGCTGCCACAGAGAGCGTGGGGCGAGCCGGCAGCTGTCACGTGCGTCTAAGGAAAGGCCCTGAGGCCATTCACTGTTCAGAACATAACTGGGTGTAGACACAGACCCAGGTAGAAGCTGTGTTGGCTCCCAAACAGGGAAGAAGAGGGATGTTGGGAAGAAAATGAATATGCTGTCGGAGCAGGTATGAGTGTTGTGAGGGCAGCACTGGAAAGGAAAGCCCTCCGATCCGGACGTTGCTGACGGGTCAGGGTAGAGACAAAACAGCCTCCCTCCCCTTCCCTTCTATCAGTCCCTTGGAAACCTTGTTTGACATTAACTTGAACTTAGCTTAGTTGAGAGACTTAAAGAGGATAAACAGTAAGCATTTGTGAGGAGACTGGTGGGGTAGCCACAAAACCATAGAAGAGACCTTAAAGAGCACCCTGCCTCTCACCTCCTTTTATTTATTTATTTATTTATTTTAATGTTTTATTTCTAGGAGAGAGACAGCGTGAGCAGGGGAGGGTCAGTGAGAGAGGGAGTCACAGACTCTGAAACAGGCTCCAGGCTCTGAGCTGGCAGTCAGCACAGAGCCCGACGCGGGGCTGGAACCCACGAACCGCAAGATCATGACCTAAGCGAAAGTCGGATGCTTAACCAACTAAGCCACCCAGGCGCCCCTCGCCTCCTTTTTTTTTAAGAGAGTAGTCTGAAATCAGAGCATGAGATGACTTGCATGCAGTGCCGTCTGATCTGTGGTTTACCCTGGATGAGAACCTGAGTTTCATATTCCGGACTTCTCTCCAGTATCGTAGTCTGACAGATGGGGAAAGGTGGGCTTCCACCAGACTTCTCATTTGATTGGACTTCCAGATAAAGCGAAAAGCAATAGTGTTTTAAGATTTTTTCATCTAATTCTGATAAAATCAGAGTAAGGAAAAAGCCAGTTTGTAAAAAATGGCTGACCACATATGTATACTTTCTAAGATCATCTGCAGGTGTATAAAGAATAGTCTCTGACAGTTCATTTCATAAGATGTTGCTAAACAGTTTGCATATCTTTACTAGTGAAATGGAACAATCTGCATATGCTAGACATTTCTGTTTCTTCTGGGAATCACCTTTTTCTGTGCATCTTTTGTTCTCTTAAAGATTTGTAGGACTTCTTTGTGATTTCTTTAGCCCTATATATGTTAACAATTTTAACAGACTTTTTTCCCCCTTTTTTGGCTTGATGGGTTTGGTGGTTTTACTTGGGAGGGCCTTCCCTACCTTAAGAGAATAAAGCTATTTTCCTGTAATACCTTTTTTTTTAATGTACCTTTAGATGTTTCATCTGCCTAACTGTAGTTTTGTGTATTGTGTGATCTAGGGTTCTAACTACTTTCTTCTAAACTGAAAGAGCCAACACACAGCTACTAAGTCAAGAGGCTGTTTTTAACCCCACCTGTCTGCCAAAGGTCATATTCTTAACCACTGTGCTCTGCTACCCCCTCTAGTTGAGTTAGTATTAGAGGGATCTTTGTTGTATGTTTGGGAAACTGGAAAAAGCATAGATATGTCATTAAACAAGAAGAATTACTATTGTTTTAGGTTTTGCTAATTGGTGACAGCATAGCGTTCTACAGGTGGCCTCCGTGTTTAAATGTTTAAGATCAAGAGATAAATAATCGGAGTAGAGAGAGACTGAACGTGTGTCAGTGGTTGGTGCTGGGGTATCAGGTATAACAGGGTGGTGTGTTCACCCGGGTGCCTTTATAATGCTACCAGAATGTCTTCTACCGCCATGGTTGTTTTTTTAAAGCTAGAGAATAAGGATGCCCAGTTGGTGTAAAAACAGACTCCACTTCTGTCACCTCAGTTGTCTTTGTTGTGATTGTCTGTCTTCCCGCTTCAGTTTACACAGTCCCTCTCTCCTCACAGGTATGCGAGGATTCATGACTGCGCACGGGCAGCCAGACCAACCTCGGTCAGCTCGCTACATCCTGAAGGACTACGTCAGCGTAAGTGAGCCCGGCTCCTCCGTGCTCTCGAGTGAGCAGCGCTTGGGCGCCTGCGACCTGTTGAGTCATAAAGGAGGCGTTTTCTCACCGAGAGAGTGTCGTGATGGGCAAGGTCCAGTGCTGGCAGCGTTTGCGCAGGCCTTCTGGGGGCGCGGGCCGCAGCTGTGGCGTGGCATTGTCGGCCCAGGGGAGTTAGCGTCGTGGGAACCGTAGGTGTAACCAGCAGCATAATTACAGGGGAGAGGGCTGTCTGCACGTTCTCAGCGAAAGTGACAGATTGGTGCCTCTGGTCGTGCCGGCTCCCGCAGCAGCCGTGTCACCGTCCTCCCAGTGGGGTGGCCTTCGTGTGCCTTGCTCCCTGCGCTTCCCCGGGAGCCGCGCTCACAGCCCTGCTGAGAGCGTGCTGTTGTGTGTGCCTTGTCTCGTTACAGGTACGTGACCAGTCTGTGAGGTTATTCTCCTCACGTTACAAATGAGGACGTGCTAGGTTTTGGGTTTTCCTCCTCAGTAAGATAGGAACTGATAGTACCTGTCTCGTGAGAGGATTATGGGAAATAAATGAGAATCGTGTCTGTATGTGGAGACACACACACCACTAAGCTCAGTGCCTGGCACAGAATTAGGCCCCAGTAGTTTTTCTGTATTAAGCTTAATTCTTTTTGCAGACCAGCGTGTTGCATGTCCCGTAGCAACTGGCTGTGAGGATCTGGCTTTATTCCCTCTTCTGAACGCCACACAGCAGGGCTCCTGGAAGCATAGGCGTAAAGCTGAGCATCCGTGCTCTTGCCTTCAGTTCAGGAAGAAAGTAGTTAATAGAATATTTGTATGGATAAATTATTTCATTCATCTACCATTTATAAAACTGTGGACAGTGAGAAGATGAGTTAAATCCACAGTTTATAGAGTGTTTATGGTGGGAAGCAGGGTATTTACACCCAATGAGCCCAACATCCACATGAGTGTAATCCTGCTGTGCAGTTGTGTCCTGATGTTCATTTTGGAAAATACTTCTCCTGAGTATAGTCACATAAGTGTGCTGAAGAACACTGGCAGGAATGCAAACAAGGTAAAGAGGAGCACAGAGGAGAAAGATTTCCTTCTGGTGTGTGGGCTGTGGGCAGGTGAGGCCTCCAGAACTCTTTAAAGATAACAGTGAGGGGGGGCGCCTGGGTGGCTTAGTTGGTTAAGCGTCCTACTTTCGCTTAGGTCATGATCTCGCGGTTCGTGGGTTCCAGCCCCGCGTCGGGCTCTGTGCTGACTGCCAGCTCAGAGCCTGTAGCCTGTTTCCAATTCTGTGTCTCCCTCTCTCTCTGACCGTGCCCTGCTCACGCTGTCTCTCTCTCTCTCTCTCTCCTAGAAATAAAAAAAAAAAAAAAAAAAAGATAACAGTGAGGGTCACCTGGGTGGCTTAGTCAGTTAAGCGTCCGACTTTCACTTAGGCCATGATCTCGCGGTTCGTGGGTTTGAGCCCCGTGTCAGGCTCTGTGCTGAATGCCGGCTCAGAGCCTGGAGCCTATTTCAGAGTCTGTATCTCCCTCTCTCTCTGACCGTGCCCTGCTCACGCTGTCTCTCTCTCTCCTAGAAATAAATAAAAATATTTAAAATAAAATAAAGATAACAGTGAGTTCATTAGGACTCTCTGTTTGCAGGCAACCGGAAGTGAGCTCGCTTAATCAAAAAGCAGGAAGGGAGCCTGGGCGGCTCAGTCGGTTCGTGGGTTCGAGCCCTATATCAGGCTCTGTGCTGAAGCTCAGAGCCAGGAGCCTGCTTCTGATTCTGTGTCTCTGTCTCTGTCCCCTCTCTGTTCACACTCTGTCTCTCTAAATAAATAAATTTTTTTTCATTTAATTTTAAAAAAGGAAGCTCGTCAGAGGGTGCTTAGTGGAGCCGTCTTCTCTGAGGACTTTTTCTTCTTCTGCGATAACACAGGTGACACGTCATGTGCTGTTACGCTTCTTGTCTTCATAGGGTAAACTTCTGTACTGTCATCCTCCCCCTGGAAGAGACCCGGTGACCTTTCAGCATCAACACCAGCGACTCCTGGAGAACAAAACGAATAGTGGTGAAGTAAAAATACATCCAGATGGAAATAAAAAAGCAAAACAGATTGAAAATATAGTTGACAAAACTTTTTTCCATCAAGTAAGTTTTAAAGTATTTCTTTAATTTCTGACCCAACACATATTATATAGCAGTTTTATTGAAATAACCATTCACATACTGTAAAATTCACCCTTTGCAAGTATAGTTAGTAGTTTATAGTATGATCAGGGTTGTGCAGCCATCACCATAATCTTAGAACATTTTCATCACTGCAGAAAGAAACATTGTACCCATTAGCAGGCATTCACCATTCCCCTCTCTCCCCAGCCTTTGCCAACCACCCATCAGCTTTCTCTTCTATAGCTCTGCCTATTCATATATCTCGTATAAATGCAATCCCTCACTCCGTGGTCTTTTCTGACTGGCTTCTTTACCTTGGCATAGTCACTTCAAGGTTCATCCATTTATCAGTACATTATTCCTTTTTATTGCCAAATACTTCACTGAGTGGATATGTATACCACGTTTTGTTTATTTCTCATAGATGGAATTTGGGTGGTTTTCCCTTTCTATTATAAACGATTAAAAAAATTTTTTTTTAGTGTTTATTTTTGAGAGAGAGACAGAGTGTGAGCCAGGGTGGGGCGGAGAAAGAGGGAGACACAGAATCTGAAAGCAGGGTCCAGGCTCCGAGGTGTCAGCACAGAGCCCAATACGGGGCTCAGACTCACAAACCCTGTGATCATGACCTGAACTGAAGACAGATGCTTAACCGACTGAGCCACCCAGGCCTCCCCCTCTTTCCATTATAAATAACGCTGTGAACATTCATGTACAAGCTTTTGTGTGAACAATAGATTTTCAGTTCTCTTGGGTATAATTATATAATTACATATAATTAGGAGTGGGATTACTGGGTCCTATGTTAACCACATGTTTAACATTTAAGGTACTGCCATGCTTTCCAAAGTGTATGTGCCATTTTACATTCCCACCAGCAATGAATGAGGGTTCTAATTTCCTTATGTCCTCACCAGTATTTATTTTCCATATGTTTTTATTTTATCCTACTGTATGTGAAGTGGTATCTCAGGAATTTGATTTCCCTAAGGATTAATGATGTTGATAATCTTGTGTGCTCATTGGCACATGTAGATCTTCTTTGGAGAATTATTGTTGAGTTGTAAGAGTTATTTATATATTCTGATAAAAAGCCTTTATTATATTTTTAATTTGCAAATATTTTCTACCGTTTAGTGGCTTTTCTGAGCCAATACATTTTAATATTCATTGTTTACATCACAGCTACAATTTATATGCTACACTTTACAAAACAAATTTAGGAGCACCTGGGTGGCTCGGTCATTTAATTGTGCAACTTCAGCTCAGGTCATGATCTCATAGTTCAGGAGTTCAAGCCCCATATTAAGCCCTCTGCTGTCAGCAAGGAACCAGCTTCAGATCCTCTGTCTCTCTACCCCACCCCCACAGTCTCTGTCTCTCTCTCAAAAATAAATAAACATTAAAAAAATTTTTTTTAATATAAGAACAGAAAGAAAGTGTATATGCAGAACAGTTAAATCCTCTAACTGTACTTAATATATTTTTTAAATCCTTTTGTGACTACTGAAGCCATAAAAGGGTGGCGGTGAGGGTGTCATCTGTATCCAGAGTGATTATTTATTTGATGCTTTATTTGTGTCTCACATAGTGAGGCCAAGCAGAGAGTGCTATCCACCACTGGGGACATTGAGGCTTAGGAGGCGAAGTGACTTATTCAAGGACACTTGTGTTAAATGGCAAAGCTTGTATAGAACTGGACTGTAGGGGCTCCTGATTTGAATTATTTAAAAGTCTGCCAATATTTAGGAGGAAATTTACTGATATGCAGAAAGATCACATGTTCTTTCTCGGGCCTGGTGGTAGTATCATGCAGGACATGTAGATGGAAGTTCTCAGTGTTTACAGAATGTTTTTGAAGGTCATACACAAGAAAGTTGAAAACTTAATTATAATGCATATATCTAAGCTTTAGTCTCTAGAGTAATATTTATTATTATAAGACAATCATTATAAGACAGTATTGCTTTGCACTTGCAGAATCATACGGGATTAATTTTATTTTTACGAAATAAACTTAATTGTTTAGTCTTTTTGTTTCATTTTTCTTTACTTAAATCACAAGTTTACAGAAACTTTTTTTTTAATGTTTTATTTATTTCTGGGAGAGAGAGACAGTGTGAGCAGGGGAGGGTCAGAGAGAGAGGGAGACACAGAATCCGAAGCGGGATCCAGGCTCTGAGCTGGTTGTCAGCACAGAGCCCAACGCAGGGCTCGAGCCCACGAACTGTGATATCATGACCTGAGCTGAAGTCGGATGCTCAACCAACTGAGCCACCCAGGCGCCCCTAAAGAAACTTTTTTGAGCACTTACTACATGAGCTACTGCGCTAGGACCTAGGATACCAAAGGAGTAAGACATAATTACTGTTTTCAGGGAGATCATATTCCAGCCAAGGGGCGATGGCCAAGTTAACAAGTAACATGACAGATGAGGTCTAGGGCAGAAGTGTAAGTCAGGTACTTTGTGAGCCCAGACTGGGGAGCAGTTCTTCCTTGGGGCCGGGAGGAGAGTAGGTGAGTGAATGCCAGAAAGAGGAGGTGATCTAAGCTGGACTCTAAGGGACAAATACAAATGGTACCGATTGGAAGGAGTGGTGGATGATTATCCAGGCAAAGAGGGAGTAGTGTGAATAAGGGCATAAAGTGATGGAAGCGTGGGTTCTGTCATTAAGGAGCCCGTGTTATAAGTGGCCTTGTGCACCATCTGCGGGAATATGAACTTGGTTCCCCAGGCCACCGGGAGCCACCAGAGGCCTGTGAAGACAAGAGGGGTATGTGATTGTTGCCCCTAGTAGGGATGTGGAGTGTTGTGGTGGTTCGGTGAAAGCAAGTACATACTGGGCTAGAGCAGCACAGTGGAGAGCAGTGGATATAGATGCACAAACTCCTAGAGCCTGGAGCCCCCAGAGCTTAGCGGCTGCTGTGTGTGGTGGACGAGGAGGGCACAGGGAGTGCTGTCTCAGTGGCTAGTTCAGATGCTGTGTGAAGCGGTGGGATGAAGCAGAGGAAGTGGAGGACAGAGAGAACGCACTCCGGACAGAATGCAGAGAAACTTATTTAAGAACGGGGAGAGAGGAGCAGTGAAAGAGGTGGAAGTCTTCTGGCGTGGAGTTCTCCACAAATAGTACTGTGCTCATCTCTCCCTCACTGCTGTCTTCATTTCCTAGGAAAATGTGAGAGCTCTGACCAAGGGAGTGCAGGCTGTGATTGGCTACAAGCCTGGGAGTGGCCTGGTGACTGCAGCTGCTGTGAGCTCTGAGAGCAGGGCTGGGAAGCCCTGGAAAAAACATGGCAACAGAAATAAAAAAGAGAAGAGTCGTAGACTCTATAAGCACCTGGATACATGAACTCGGGGCCGCAGCGGAAATGGCACGTGCGTCATGCATCCGGAGAAGACCAGAAGCTGCTCTTGCCCGGGATGGTGGGGAATGGACCCTGCTTCTTGTGGCACCCGGCCACACCAGACAGCCAGGATCAAGACGGAGGGGCTCCTTAGAGCACCGAGGCCAGCACCGTCATCTTGGAGCCCCGGAAACCTCGTCCTGTAGAAGGCTGAATTTAAGACGAGGGAATGAATGATTGAATGTTTGTGTAAACAAATACACATGCATACTAATTTGTAAGTTGGGGGTTTTTTTTGAAAAGATACTAAAATTAAATGGTCACTAATAGACTTTTTTTGGTTTATGTAGATACACTGCCATTTGGACATTTCACATTCTTTAAACAGTTGTAATTTGCCAAAACACGACTGGGATTTTAGATGGATTCTTTTGAGAACATTGTTTAGGTTAGTGATTCTCAACCTCACACACGTACCCCACACTTGTTAGTATTGCTGAAGGCACATCAGGTCTTGGAATGAGGAGGGCCAGTGTATATAGTTTTGAAAGCCTCAGAGAGCCCAGTCTTCTGTTGAAATTCTCCATCAAATGAGCTACTACTCAAGAAGGTAGCGTGTTAGCGTGTATTTTTCTATAGCTCACTACAGGGGTGAGGAAATGGGCAGATAATCTGCTAGGTATTGTTGGAGGCTTAGTACTTAGTACCTTATCTGCTTAGTACTTAGGACCATCAAGAGTGAGATGTGAGCATTTTTTACCTTTTAAAGTGCCATTCCTTATAATACACGAGGTGTTTAGCCTCTCACTTTACTTCCGTCTCCCTTTTTCTGTGAGCCTCATTATTCCCTTAACTCGGATCCTTGCCTTATTTTGTGTGATGGATGTTTTTGGAAATGTAACGGAAGTTATGGATGCTTTCTCCAGAAAAACGCCCATGCCCATGAACACGGTCTTGTGAAATGTATCGGAAGATCACAGACCTGCAGTTCATCCTCAGTTTCACAGTTAAGCCTTCCTTGCCCTGTGTAGCCACAGTGCATTTGAGATATGTCTGAAGACGTGTCCCACCTGGGGAATGAAGACACCCACTTGTTCATTTAACAAATCCCACCTGCCGCGTGGCAGGAAGGGGCACTGGAGAATGGTGACAGCAGGCGTAGGGCCCTGCTGCAGGTTAGCCAGAGCCGTCACACGGCCCTCGAGCCTGTGGGGATCCTGGAGGTTTGCTCAAAAGCGGGGGGTAAGCCAAGGGAGAGTTGATAAACAGGCAGGGAATTGGTGGTGTAAGTCTTCATTTAAGTACCGGGTGAAAGTTATTCCAGGTCAAGGCTGAGGCAGAGCTAGAGAGGTTCCAGAGTTGTGCTCCTCCATCTGCAGCAGTGTACTTCTGGTTCTTCCCTTTGATCTGAGGAAAGGGACAGTCTAAAAGGCCCATGACAGAAACAAGCGGCAGCGTGTTAAAGCGTACGTTGTTTCCTGTACCACAGAACAGGCACAGCTGTCTGGAATGGACAAAGCATGTACTGATTTTGGTTTGCTTTAATAATAGTGTAATAGCTAAATCAGTACTTAGAAAAAGTAATTACATACACTTCCAAGTTCCAGGTTATTTTTGTAACAATTTTTTGAGATATTCACGTACCATGCAAGGTCACCAATTTTAAAGTATACAGTTCAATGGTTTTTAGTATATTCAGAGTTGTAGAACCATCACCACAACCAGTTGCACATTGCTGCCACAAAAAAGACACCCAGGCCCCTTTAGCTATTGGCCCCCAATCCTCCCATCCCCCCAGCCCTAAGCAAGCACTGATCTACTTTATATATGGATTTGCCTATTCTAGATGTTCATAATAAAGGATTCATAAGCTGTGTGACCTTGCGTGACTGGCTTTCACTCAGCCTGATGTCTTCCAGGTCATCCATTCTCTAACATCTCTCAGTATTTCATTGCTTTTTGTTGCCAAATAATGCATTCCACTGAATGGGCATACCACATTTTGTTTATTCATCAGTTAAAAGGCACTTGGTTTGCACTTGCTGCCTATTATGAATACAGTGCTGCTGTGAACATTTGTGTACAAGTTTTTGTGTGGTTTTTCATTCTTAGGTACATATCTAGGAGTGGAATTGCAATGTATTTAACCTTTGAGCAGCTACCAGACTGATGTTCAGGATGGCTGTGCCATTTTCCATTTTCCGTCAACAGTGTATAAAGGTTCTAGGTTCTCCGTACTTCTGTCAGCACATGTTACTGTCTGACTTTGATGTTTCGGCCATCCTCATGGGTATAAAGTGCTATCTCCTGGTTTTGATTTGCATTCCCTTGATGACTAATGATGTTGAGCATCTTTTCATGTGCTTATTGGCCACTTGTAGATCTTTTTTGGAAAAATGTCTATTCAGATCTTTTGTCCATTCTTTAATGGGGTTACTTACCTGGTTACTGAGCTACAAAAGTTGTTTGTACATTCTAGATACACATCCCTTAGCAGATAGGTAATTTGCAAATGGTTTCTGCCACTCACTGGGTTGTCTTTTCATTTTTTATAGTGCCTTTGAGGCACAGTTTTAATTTTGATGAAGTCCAAATAGATCCATTTTTTCTTTGGTCGCTTGTGCTTTGGGTGTTAGATTTAAGAAACTATTGACAGATCCAAGGTTATTAAGATTTACCCCCATGTTTTCTTCCAAGAGTTTTAGAGTTTTAGCTCTTAACATTTAGGTCTTTGGTCTATTTTGAGTGTTTGTATCTGGTGGGAGTAGAAGGTGGACAACTTGATTCTTTGGCACACAGTATCCGGTAGCCCCAGCACGGTTTGTTGCAGAGCCTGGTGTTTACCCATTGAATTGTTTCGGCACCTTTGTTGAGAATTGAACGTAAATGTCATGGCCTGTTTCTCCATGTATACCTTTGGTATTTAACCTTTCTGAATGTGGAACAATTGTGAAGAGCATCTAACTCGATCTTCTAGCAAGTATTCCTGGTAAGAAACGTCTCTCTGTGTGGATGCCCCACGCCAGTCGATCCCTTAGCCCGCTTGGAGTTCGCCTGCAGCCTTACCTGTGCGGGCCTTTCCTCAAGCCCTGGATTTCCTGCGCTCCTTTCTTTTGCACCACAGCTTGCTCACCGCACACACGGGGCAACCTGGGAGGGCTGGGGATTCAACACCCCCAGAGCACCCCCCAACTGGTCAAGAATGGGGGCTGGGCGGTGAGTCCCCCGGCTTCCCTGTCCCTTGGTACCTACGCTGTATTATCCACACTAGAGCCTCAGTGGAAAGCATCTCACTGACTCACCTGCTGCCTTTCTCCCCTCCCTCACTGTCCACACCCTCACTCCTGCTTCACGGCTGCTTCACGGGATTGCCTCCCAAATAGACTAACCAAACCTAAGCCCTCTGCTTACAGTCTGAAGAACCCAAACTAGGACACCCTGAAAGGGGAGTTTCTATGTGCACCTTTGCTTCTGCCCAGAATGTGTCTCGTTAAGCAGTTTTTTAAAGTATCCTCACCGTTGTAGGGAGGAGTAGTGCAGACTGCTGGTCATTAGCATTATCGCTTGGTTGTTTGGAAAAGTTTTCCCAGCATTTTATTACAAGAACTATACTGCCCTTTGAAAGTAGAACCTGCTATACATCTGCCCTCTGTTTACTTTTCAGGAAGTTAGGAGGACGTGGAGGTTTCTGTCAAGACATCAATAGCAATGTATGCTTTCCTGGCAGGCCAGCTGGGAAGTGTGGCAGCCAGCCAGAAACCCACCTCCTGCCGCCCCTCTGATGGTTCCCGTGGAGCAAGAGACAGGAAACAAATGGGGCAGAATGGCCGCAACTGGTGGTAGGTGGGTGGGTAGGTAGGTCCTAGGTAGTTTCACCTTTTGTAGTTTTGAAATTTTTCAAAATAAACCATGGGGAGTGAGGAGGGGTCATAGAAGTAGACAGTTAAACTCCAAAAGGGCTCAGGAGCCATTCAGGAGGACAGACAGCTGTACTGAGAGGTTAGATTCAGATAGTGACCGCAACGGACAGAAGCGAAGCTCTTTCTCTGCCTTGGCTGGCTTTGGGGAAGTGGGTTATCCAGCTCCCATACTGGCCCGTGGGAGGTTGTAGGACGCTGCTTTCCTTGATTGTAAACTGCAGCGAGAACACACATTCCATTTATTTATTTATTTTTAGGTTTATTTTCGAGAGAGAAGAGAGACAGCGGGAATGGGGTGGGAGGCAGCGGCAGAGAGACAGAATGCGAAGCAGACCCCAGGCTCCGAGCTGTGGGCACAGAGCCCGATGCGGGGCTCAAACCTATAGACTGAGATCATGCCCTGAGCCAAAGTCGGACGCCTAACAGACTGAGCCACCCAGGTGCCCTAAAAACACATTTCTTTCAAATAATTATTTCAATGCAAATAGTCAAGTACTGAATCGTATTTAATTGGCTCTTTAAGAGGTGGGTAGCCTGGTGCGCCCGGCTGGCTCAGTCAGTAGAGCATGCAGCTATGTGTCCTGAGTCCAGCCCCACCTTGTGGGTAAAGATCATGTGGAGAAAGCAAAACAAAACAACATAGAGCTTTCCTTGATGTAACGTTTCAGCATCTGTGAGTTCCATCAGCCCATGCCCAGCTTCTAGCATGAAAGAAGTCCCTTTCAGCAATGACACGCTTGAGGGTGAAAAAGGTAAAGAAACTTTCACAAGATCAAACAGCTGATCATAGACTTTTTTTTTTTTTTAACATTTTTATTCATTATTGAGAGACCGAGCATGAGCAGGGGAGGGGCAGAGAGAGGAGGAGACAGAATCTGAAGCAGGCTCCAGTCTCCGAGCTGTCAGCACAGAGCCCGATGCAGGGGCTTAAATTCACAAACCGCGAGATCATGACCTGAGCCAAAGTCAGATGCTTAACTAACTGAGCCACCCAGGCGCCCCAATGATAGACTTTAAACAGAGCCCAGGACCTCCGTGCTGACAGCAGGGAGCCTGCTTGGAATTCTCTCTGCCCACCCCCCACCGCCCCGCAAAATAAATGGATGGATGGATAGAACCCAGGACCCTAACAGTCCGACCACTTGCTTCTCTCATGATACTCCCACATGTCCACAGTGGGATTGATTCAGATTTGCAAATGCCATTATTTCAAAATGCATTCACAAAGAATTGATTTCTCTATACTTAACAGCAGGTAAATCAAACTGGCAAGGAGCCTATTTTAATGTTACCAATTGAGTAGTGGCCACAAGCCCTTCCTCTAAATAGCACATTTTCTAAGGACATTGGCAGGAGGCAGCATGAAGCAAAAGCTGTTGCGCTGCAGGCCTGTGCCCCCCCCCTCCGGTGGCCTGCGGGCTCCAGCAAGGACAGCCCAGGCTGGTCCACGCCCTTCCTTCGGGACGACGCCTGCGGGCGCATGCCTCTGCCAACAGGAAGTGTCTCCGAGCCGGGGTCCTCCTGTTAGCTTTTCTTTCGGGTAAACTCTGGGCCGCGGCCACAGAAACCTTAGCTTTAGTTTTTGGGTGGGGCAGCCGCCCGGCCTCAGAGGAGCCTGGTAAGGGAACTGATTCACTTCCTGAGGGCCAACCATGGAAAAAGCCCTTTGGAAGGTCCTGGCAGAAGTAGACCGGGGTCCTAACAACAGGATGAAGACCTGGCGGGCACCGGCGGCCGGCCTTTGTCGCCCCACCTCCTCCCTTGAGGCAGGACCCCTGTCATTTGCAGGTATCCGCGGGCCGTCGTCTTCCTGCCGCCCGGACGGCTTCCCAAGATGGCTGCCACGCTGACTGCCCAAAGCAAACATGTCCTCCAAAGCCTGGATCGTGGGGTTCTCAAAAGCCCCCCAACACACAACAGCAGGGGCCACCAAAGCACTGTAAACGTGCCCTGACTACAGATAGGCGCTGTACCTTTTTATGGCCTGTCGAAAAACCAGTTCATTCAGTAGCTATGTTCCTTATTACATGCGAGGCAGAGAGCCGGGTGCCGGGGTACAGATCTGACCTCCACAGCCCTGGCTGAAGGCGCCCACAGCCGGGGCGGAAGACACCACCTGTCACACTGAGGGGTGCCCTAGCTGGGGAGAGACCCAGGCCCGCGGGTTTGTGCCTGCCCCCTACAGGCCCGGGACACAGCCTCCTGGGCAGGGAAGACGGCCCGTGGCGGCGCCTCGGGAGGGCAACTCACGAGGTTGGTCATGGACGTGTTCAATCAGACACGCGAGTGGAGACGTCGAATAGGCAGCTGCGTATGTGAGTCTAAAGCCTGGGAAGAAAGTCTGATCTGGAGATCCTCGGGGGCGGTATTTAAAGCTAGAGGTTCCCATGCTTCTGGCCTTCAGTAAAGAGAAGAGAACCAAGAACCGAGCTCTGTCTCCGCCCCATTAGCTATTCACACTTTCCGTGAACCACTGTTTTTTGGTTGTGGTTTCGTTGTTTAGTGGCTCTGAGGTTCTTCCTAGGAAAGGCAACAGCAGTACTAACTTCCAGATGCTTCATCTCCAGGGTTTCTACTAATCACAGTAGCCCCGAGGGAGTGGCAGAGGGTCCGTGCTTTGCCCCAAGTCACAGCTGCAAGGACACCGTGAGAACTGCAGTCCCACTCGCCGGCCCCGAGGCCCACCTTCTTCCCATTGCACTTTTCTTTGAGCCAATGTGTCCAATGACTGGCAAAAGCCCCCTGCACTTGCCCACGCACACCGGGGGCCATCTCCATAAGCCGTTCTTCTCGTAAGAAACTCACAGGAAGCTTGTGGGAAGGCAGTTCAGTGGACTGTTTAACGCCCCCCCCCCCCCGACATACCAGGTCCTGTGTCACCTCCTATGGGAAGAGTTCAGAGACATGATTAAGGATCTTGAGATGGGGAGGGGAATGTAGATTAGCCGAGCAGGTCACAAGGGCAATCTGCATAGGAAAGAGAGGGAGATTTCACACACACTCAAGACAAGAGGGAAATGTGACCACGAGGAGGAAGAGATGACGTGACACGGCCACAAGGCTGGGAGTGCTGGAAGCCACCAGATGCCGGATGAAGAGACAAGGATTCCCCTTCTATAGTCTCCAGGGGGAGGCAGCCCTGTGGCCACCTTGACCGTGGTCCAGTGAACCTGATTTCAGAATAGGGAGGGAATACATTTCTGCTATTTTATGCCTCTAAGTTTGTGGTAACTTGCTAGAGCGGCCACAGGAAACGAATCCGTGCAGATTCCAAGGACACATGCCCTGAGAGTTGGATTTAGTCAGGCTAGTTGTTGTTTTTTTAATTTTTAAAGTTTTTTTTTAACTTATTATTTATTTTTGAGAGAGAAAGAAACAGCATGAGCAGGGGAGGGGCAGAGAGAGAGGGAGACACAGAATCTGAAGCAGGTTCCAGGCTCTGAGCCGCCAGCAGAGCCCGACGCGGGGCTCGAACTCATGAACCATGAGATCATGACCTGAGCCATAGTCAGAAGCTCAACTGACTGAACCACCTAGACGTCCCAAGTCAGGCTGGTTTTATGACAGGAAGTCAGAGTGATCCTGATACCTATGATCTATGGACCACACCCCCCACAGACACACACAACTGCTTTGGGAGGGGGCTCAGGACTTAAACCCTTAAACTAGGGGGGTTTAGTCTGGGGTCTAGTCCTCCACGAAATCCATAGTTGAATTTCAGAGAGTCTATAAATTCCTTAAGATTGTATGAACACCATGCAGGCGTGCATACATGTTCATATTTTTCAGGGACACGGTCTTCCTCAAATTCTCTGAGTTCACCGAAAAGGCTGAGAACTAACCACTCTGAGGAAAAGCTGTTGAGGTGTGTAAACCGGGTCCAGGGTGTGGTGGGGAGCAATGAAGCAGTTTTTATTTTATTTTGTGTTTTTAATGTTTTTTTTTAATATTTTTTTTCAATGTTTTATTTATTTCTAGGAGAGAGAGAGAGAGAGAGAGAGACAGCGTGAGCAGGGCACGGTCAGAGAGAGAGGGAGTCACAGACTCTGAAACAGGCCCCAGGCTCCGAGCTGGCAGTCAGCACAGAGCCCGACGCGGGGCTTGAACCCACGAACCGCGAGATGGTGACCTAAGCGAAAGTCGGATGCTTAACCGACTAAGCCACCCAGGCGCCCCTTTTAATGTTTATTTTTGAGGGAGAGAAAGAGAGGGGACAGAAAGGGGGACAGAGGATAGGAAGCAGAGAGCCCATTGCGGGGCCTGAACTCACTAACCACAAGATAATGACCTGAGCCGAAGATAGATGTTTAACTGACTGCGCCACCCAGGCGCCCTGGAATGAAGCAGTTTTTAAATTGGGCCCAGCCTCCAAGGGCTTATACTGAGCCTGAGGGAGAGGGGAGTCATAATAAGAGATGAATCAAATTAACTAGTGGTATCCTCAAGTCTCAACAAAACCGAGCATAAGGTAGCCCTGCTTAGGGCCTGGGGAGAGGGTGACATGAGATGGGGAAGGTGTGTCCTCATTTCAGTGAGACAGTGCAAGGGATTATCTTTCCAGAACTGTAGGTAGATAGGCAACGTCACCAGAGGAAACTGGGAGCCAGGCGGTCACAGGTCAGTGTCCACAGGTCAGGTAGAAAAACCCACAAAGAACCAGCAGGCAGGGACGTGAGACTGCGGGTATTTGGGAATTGTCTATGCGACACTTGGCTACTGTATTTTCCCTTTTTATTTTAACCTTCCAATCTTGTCTTAGTTGGTATTCATTTTACATCGCTTTATCTTAATCATTTTTATATTTTAATTCTGGCCCCTTTTGTTGAGTAACCTATTTTAATTTTACCTTCACTTGCTCATTTGCTTGTTTAATGTCACTCTCTCTCCTACTGGCCTGTAAGCTCAATGAAGGCAGGGACGTGTCTGGTTTTCTCAAAAAACGTGTTCCCAGCTCCTGGCCTGACAATGTCTGACAAACTGTGTTTCAGGACCAAAGGTAGTCATAACTTTAAAAATAAATGAAACTGGAAAATAATGTGGCCAGTTGAGAAGAAACAGTCTGGCAGTTACTCAAAACCATAAATGTAGGGGCGCCTGGGTGGCTTAGTCGGTTAAGCGTCCGACTTTCGCTTAGGTCATGATCTCGCGGTTCGTGGGTTCGAGCCCCGCGTCGGGCTCTGTGCTGACTGCCAGCTCAGAGCCTGGAGCCTATTCCAGTCTGTGGTTCCCTCTCTCTCTGACCCTCCCCTGCTCGCGCTGTCTCTCTCTCTCCAAGAAATAAATAAACATTAAAAAAAAAAATCCCATAAATGTAGAGATTTTGGGCCCCAACAGTTCCACTCCTACTTATATGCCCGAGAACTGAAAACCTCTGTCCACATAAAACCTTGCACACAAATGTTCATAGCAGCATTATTCATAATAACCAAAATGTGCAAACAACTCAGGTGTCTGTCAACTGATCAGTAGATAAAATAGATTAATTAATTCATAAAATAATGGAATATTATTCAGCTATAACAAGGAATGACGTTCTGACCCACGCTTATAGCATAGGTGAACCTTAAAAACATTATGCTCAGTGAAAAAAGTTGTCCACAAAATGTTCGCCTATTGGATGGGATTGCATTAATATAGAATTTTCCAGAACAGGCAAGCCCCTAGAGACAGAAGGTAGATTTGTAGTTGCCTAGGGCTGGGAGTGTGGAGAAGAAAGTTAACTGCTAATGAGTACTTGCTTTCTAACAAGGGATGAAAACGTTGTAAAATTAGGTAGTGGTGTACAATTAGTTGTGGTTGCACAGCTCTGGATATACTAAAAAACTGCACACATTAACAAGGTGAATTTTATGGGATATGAATGAGATCTCAATAAAACTGCTATTTTTAAAAACGAAGAAAACGAAATGATAGGGTCACCTTCTTTAAGCAAACTTACCAAAATCAGCAAGGACTTTTTAGAATTGTAATAGCCTGTTTTCAAGGAGAACAGCTCTGTGTAGCAGAACCGTGTGACAATGTGGCTGGATGGGACCGCACGACGGCCAAAACCATCGGCCCCTTGGGGCATCTTCTAGGGTGACTTCTGGAAGTCTGGCTTGGGCGACTGAGTCGGGGTGGAGGGTTCCGTGACGGCTTCAGACCAGAGAGTGAGAGAAGATGGGGGGGTGCTTCTGCCGGGCCCCCCACCGCACCCTTTCCATTGCGCCCTTTGAAGGATCAGACCTGCCGCTCACGCCGGGATCCCCAGCACCCGAGAGCTGCGTCAGGCGCGAAGCATGTGCATCGTTTGGCTCGGAAAATGGGGCGCATTAATGAGCGGACAAAGTGCCCTACAGTGTGGCCGGGCAGGTCACGGCTCTTCGGCCCTGGCCCCCGGGTCGGGGCTGGGAGACCGCAAGGGGTCAGCGAGCCGCGCCTACACCGCCGTCGCGGGGGAAGGGGGGCGGGGGCCGCAGCCTTTGTGCCCAGGCCGCTCCCGGCTCCCGCCGCTGGGGGGCGCCTCCGGTCCGCCGACCCCGACAATAGGACGCCGGGTGGGGAGCCGCGCGGTCCCGGAAACTTTCCCCTCGCGCCGCCGCCGCAGACTCCCGGCCGCGGCCGTGCGCTGGGCCCGGGCCGCCGCCGCCGCGGGGACAGCGGGGCGCGGCAAGGGGCCGCGCGGGGGCCTGGGGCCCGGGCCGGGCGCGGCCAGCGAGCCATGGGGGAGGCGGCCAGCCCCGCGCCCGCGCTCTGGGACTGGGACTACCTGGACCGCTGCTTCGCCCGCCACCGCGTCTGCATCTCCTTCGGCCTGTGGATCTGCGCCTCCTGCTGCTGGGTCGCCGCCCACGCGCTGTAATGGGGGCCGGGGCCGGGCGGGGCCGGGTGTGCGGCGGGGGACGCGGGCCGCTGCCGCGCACCAACTCGCTCCTGGAAGCCCGGAGGGAAGGGGGCCTAAAGGGAGGCGGCTGGAGGCGGCGCGGTCCCGGGATCGGAACGACCCTCGCGCCGCGGGCTGAAGTCAGAAAGGACCCGGTTCCGGATTGCGCGCCCCGGGCGGCTGGGCGGGGGGCCGGCGGGCGGGGGCCGGGGGGCGCAGTGCGGGGGGGCCCCGGACTGCAGCTGCGACGCCTGGGTTCCGTGGTTAGCCTGTCCCCATCGACCGGAGGTGTGAGCTGGGCAAGCTATGAAACCTCAGAGCCTCATTTTCCTCGCCTAAATGGGAATAATAAGTCAGGGGGACGGATGGCAGGATTACATGAGTTAGTCCCGGTAAAGCTCTTAGTATGTGCTCATTAAACACCGTTGTTGTTGCTCCTGTCCTGCCACCAGCCTTTGGCAGAAGGCAAGGACCTTGGACAAGGCACTTGGCGTTTCTGGTCTCCCTTTACCCAAGGCCCTCGGATCTGGGAAGGGGGACTGGCTGTGATCTGACTCTGGCCACAGCCTTTGCCCTGTTCAGTATCTATCTGGACCCGTGCGGCCAGGTGGTCACCAAACCCTGGGTTCTATGAAGTCTGGTGAAAGATGACCTTCAGGTCTTCGGCCACCTGGTCCCAAGCTGGTGCAGCCCAAGTTAAGTATTCCCTGGCAGAGGAGGAAGGACCAGCGCCCGATGGGAGGCTGGCACCGGCTCATCTTCAGACTGCCTATTTGATGTTTGATATCGTTGCAGAGATTTGGCAACTTTTTATTTGCATCACTGGAATGCAAATAAAAAGACACTTAGAACATTTAATGTGGGGCTCGTGTTGCATTTATTAACTCATGTCTTCCCTATCACGACCCCACGAGGGAGGGACCGTATTAACTCCCAGTTACCCCCCGAGGAAGCTGGAGGTTCTAACAGTTTAACTCACGTGCCCTGGTGAATGGAAAGATCCAAACCCCCAGACCCTTTGAGAAAGGGACAGACTTGTGAGGATTAAACTGTCCAGTTCAGAGGATGGACGCCAACGAGCTCCTCTATGTGCATTATCTCAACGGGTCCTCACAGCTGACGTCAGCAGGATTAGACATCTCCTGACCTGGAAACTAAAAGGTGGGAGAGGTTAGGTAACTCCTTAGAGAATGCCCAGCCAGTCTGAGAGCCGAATCTGCTTTTTCAGCCAGCCTCAGATCTGGACACACCCATCTGTTTTCGGGACTTCGCCATCACTGAGCCGCCTCCTCTTGTTCTTGGGGAACGTATGCCCTCCGAGCTGTGTGTGGCCTGGGGTACGGTCAGCCCAGATCTCTGACCCGAGAGCTGGGGAAATGGCTGAAGACAGAAGGGTACAGAGAAAGCCTCTACATGTGAAGCCAGAGGGTGGGCCATTAACTCACCTAGTCACCATTGCCCTCACTTTTCTCCACTCTCAAATGGGAAGGTTGAAATAAAGTATTTCTTTTTTTTTTTTTTTTAGCCTTTATTTTTTTTGACAGACGGAGAGAGACAGAGTGTAGGCAGGGAGGGGCAGAGAGAGGGAGACAGAGCAGGCTGCAGGCTCTGAGCTGTCAGCACACAGCCCGATGGGGGGCTCGAACTCGTGAGCCTTGAGATCATGACCTGAACCGAAGTCCAACGCTTAACCGACGGAGCCACCCAGGCGCTCCGAAATAAACTATTTATAATCGAGTCCAACTCAGAGAGTATCTAGTGTCTTCACTTAGGCTTTGAATTGGTGTCGGAAGCCCAGGGCCAAAATTAAAGGTTGCTGTTCTCACTGTGAGCTCCGGGCTTCGCCTGGCAGATCAGGAAATGTTCAGGAACCCAGCAGCTTTCCATCCTCATCCCCTGCTCCCAAGGGCCCACCCTCAGAACCAGGCAAATGGTCCTAACCATGCGGAGTGAGTATTACCCTGTGGCTGAAGGAAATAAAACAAGAGCTGCAATTATCCCTGCCCAGATATGTAGCACGGAAACATCTAGAACAAAGGGTTTCTGCGATCCGATCAAGTGTTTCTGAGACACCTCCAACCCCTTCCGGCCTGTTACGCCTTTCTGTGCTTGGTCCAGGGGAGTGGGGCGAGGCAGGAAGCGGGGAATAAGGAGAGAAGCCAGCAGTGGGCGACTCTAGAGAGAGTCAGCCCAAAATGCATTGGCATCCTCGAGGAGTTTTGCTCTCTGTGTGTATTATTACGAACATGCTCAACTTGGACAAAGGCCGGCAGAGACCCAGCCATCCCACTGCACACACGAAGTCCTTAGCAGGATTTCACTCTAATTGAAAAGAAGCAAGTTGCCTTTTTAATTTAAGCAATTACCAGTACCCTGCAGTTAACCACTGTGATTGGGTTACTTTCATAACCCACATGTTTCCTTTCAAAAAATGAAACCTGACAGCTAGTTTGTCAGCACTGAGTGGTGGGTCGTGAACTTGATTGGCCAGATTTGTAGGGGGAGGGGAATTCCCCTACATTAGAGAGGCGGGTCCAGCTCCTGCCATGGGCTTGTTCTGGAGTCTCTGATCCTTTGTTTTCCCATCTGTAGACCAAGTTCAAAACCACCTGCTGAATATCTGGGGGAGAGAGTGCTTCACAAGGACACAAAGTCACAACTGCCCTTTTCAGACACCCGCGTTGGGAACCCACTCATGGCTGCCGTGTCCTATCCATACCCATCCACACCCCCGTCTGTCACCACAGGCTTCTCTACCTGAGGTGTGCAAAGAAATCTGGACGGGACCAGTCAGCGCTGTGTGCCGCTTGCTGCCTCCTGACCAGCCTGTGCGACACCACCGGAGCGATTCTGGCCAGACAGCTCACAATCCAGGTGCGGAGGGCCCCCGGGTGACAGGAGCTTCACCATCAAGGTGCAGCCTCACCTCATGCCCGTGCCCCGGTTGACTGCGTGCCCCTGCCCAGCGCTCCTGACTCAAACGTCACCTCAGTGAGGCCTAACCAGAGGTCTCGTGTAAATGTGTGCCCTCCCTACACCGCAGGTGCGCTGGCCTCCTTCATCCCATAGCGGACCCCCGAATGCACCATCTAGTCTACCTACTATGTTTATTGCCCATGGAACTAACTGCTAGCGTGTCAGTTCCCCAGGGACAGAAATTTGTATTTACTACCGCATCCCCATCCCTTAAAACAGCAGCTGGTGCACCGTAGATGCTCCGTAAATTGTGATTGTTGTGGTCATTGTTTTAGAGCCTGGAGCCCGGCCTCCGTGCAGACAGGGCTGGCTGAGTGCTTTCCCAGGTGGCCATCCAGGCTCCGGGGGAAGTGAGAAATGGTTTCAAGCTTTCCCGAAGTCTAGGCCCTCCACCCTGTGTAGATGGGGCGTGTCCCCAAACGCATATCCCACAAGAATATGTCCTGCAGTCACCTCATGGGGCCCGTGCCGCCCGGGTAGACACGGAAGAAGGCAGCTTCGTGGCCGGGACACACGGCTGGGAGTTCTAGACCCTGCTTCGAACAGTGTTGTCTCACAAACAGACCACCTTTCATGTTGGGCGCCCATTCTCATGGGCTGGTGGGACACAGTGGTGCCCAGCCCGAGTCCAAGAATAAGAGCCGATGTTTATTACGTCCTTCACTGTGTACTTGGCAATGAGGGCTTTCCTGCAGGTGCTAGACTAAGCACTCTCCAGGTAGTGCTTCATGCAATCTGCTTAGCACAGAGGGAGGCAGCGTTCCTATCCCTGGTCTACAGACGAGGAAACTGAGGCCCAGAGAAGTTCCGTGGTTGGGTCAAAGTCACACAGCAGAGACTAACTGTGCAACGGAAAGAGCGCGGCATGGGAAATGGAGGGCTGGGTTCTCCCTCCGCATAAGGGATTGCTCGTTGAAGCGCCCGTCTCCCCGTCAGGCAAATAGAGGTGCTAACCAGCCTTTCCTGGGGTTGGCAGGCGGCTTCCGTGGCAGGGAGATGAGGTCCGGGATGAGGGGTGCTGTGGATGCTGGAGCGTGTTTGAACCCCAAAACTCTATTTCCTTTGCCCCCAGGTGTTCACTGGCGCCTACTTAGCAGCTGTTGACCTGCTGAGCTTCGTGTTCATCCTCTTCCCAGTCTGCGGCTCCAAGTTGAAGTCTAATTTGGGTGAGTGTTTGGCCATCTGTTCCTGCCTTCATTCCTGAGCGCGCCAAGCGCCTACCCCCTGTCGTGCCCCAGCCGGGCCCCTGCCAACCACAGACTCGTGAATGAGCTCGGAGGCCGCGTCCAGATCAGAGAGACGGGGCCCTGAACGGTCATTACCGCTGCTTGCGAGGAGCTACGTGCACACCGTGGGCAGCCAGGGGGAAGGATGTGACGTCAATTCAGGGACCGCAAGGAAGGGTATTCCGGGTGAAAAGAACAGCATGGGCGAAGGCCAGGAGGGTGGGTGTGCACGGCTCTGGGGATGAACAGTGATCTCTCAGTCTTTGAGCCTGCGGTGGCCAAACACAGCCCGTACCTTCCAGAAATGGATGCCAGGAAGGGGCACAGACCCCCTCAGGCAGAGTGAGGGCTGGAAGTTCCTGAGATAGGATGGGTCACCCCGAGTTTGTGGGACTGGGCATTCCCAAGAAAGGGCCGCAGGGTGCCCGGACCCTTGTCCGAAAAGGGGGTGCTCGCGTCGGCGGGGTAATGTAAGATCCCCGAGCTGCTCAGCGCTGCCCAGAGGAGGCATGGTCCTCCTAGAATTTCCAGAGGACTCTCTGCTTCATATTTTAAGGAGATTTCCGAAACCATGCTCCGTTTTTTGCTCACAGTTTCAGGCCCTGGCACAACCCTAGCTGTGCCGGTTGAGCTCTGGGCCAGGCTCTGTGGAGATTTTAGAAATTGCCGGCCCTTGAGGCTTTCCAGCCTCACAGAGGCAACTCTGTGGACAGACACATGTGAGGATCACATGCTTTGAGAGCACTGAGGAAGGAGAAGAGCGCCGGCCGTGAGGGAGGGGGTTGGGATGAGGTGGGGGGGGTAGATTTCTCCGCAGGGGTGGCAGAGCCACCACAGGGGAACCCGTTCTGGCGTGGGGGGTGGGCTGACGCCTGTTTTTCCCATGTAGCCGTCCTTTGGGGTCTAGACCCAGGGGCCTGTGGGATTTCGGTGTTCGTTGCAGGCCGGGGCTGCAGGGAGAGGAAGAGGAGGCGGCGGCTCAGGGCCCGTGTATTTGCTCTGGCCCTGCCGCTGGGCCTGGGGCCCGGCTGGGCTCTCTGGGCCGCCGTCCGGAAGGCGTCCGGCCCTGTCCGAGGGCCCCAGCGGAGGTTACTGGGGAGCCTGCTGCAGGTGAGGCCGAGCCTGCCCAGGAGGGTGTGCGGGTGTGCCCTCCCCTTCCCTCCTCACGGTCCCAACAGATGCCCTGGGGAGGGGCCGGGTCGCGGGTCACGCTTGCCCCTGTTGGGAGGCAGGTACTAAAAGTGGGGGCGCTGAGTGTATCCTCTGTTCCCTCAGGACAACGCTGAAATCTTCGGCTACCTGCTGGGAGGCATCGCTGCCCTGGGCTCCTGGGCTTCCCGGATGGCCCCGCTCTCCAGAATCGTGAGGCGGGGTGGGGGCTGGGACTGTGGGTCACCACGGCCGGTCTTGGGGCATCTGGGAGCGGCTTCCAAGCTCCGGGTCCTGGGGGGTAGGGGTAGTGTCGTGTGTGTGTGTGTGTGTGTGTGTGTGTGTGTGTGTGTGCAGCCGACCCAGGGGAGGCCTGAGGCCGGCTGGAGCCTCTCTCTGGAGAGCCCACCGTGTTCTCTCCATAGCGAAGGAAAGGCAGGCGCTCAGGAAGAAGGCACTGGGGTTTGACAAGCAAATGTTCCATTAGGAAACGAGAAGGTTTTAGAGGAGAGCATCACGCAGCTAGCAACCGGGGTTCCGTCCGGGAGCATCTTCCTGCAGTTACTTGCCAGGCATCCAGGGCGAGGAAAGGCCTGTGACGGCCAGTTCTGTAGGGGGCTTGAGATGCGACTTGAGATGGTGACTGGAGATGTGACTTGAGAGGCTGTGCCGGGCCCTGGGGGGCTCACAGTCTCGTGGAAGACATGGAAATGCAAAGAGAGATATTTTAAGTGCTTATTTATTCATTTTGAGAGAGAGAAAGAGAGACACACAGAGAGAGAGAGCATCTCAGCCTCCACACTGCCAGCATAGAGCCCCACTCGGGGCTTGATCTCAAGAACCGTGAGATCATGACCTGAGCTGAAATCAAGAGTCGGATGCTTAACTGGCTGAGCCACCCAGGTGCCCCAAAAGCAGGATATTTTAATGCTCAAAGAAAGACAGAAGCAAACGTTAGGGGGTTTGCTAGAGGGAGAGAAAGCTCCTATGCTGTTCGTGTGAGTGAGGGTGATAACCTGACTCTGCCGGGTGGAGGGGCCCCGGGGACGCTTCCCGCTGGCTGGCTCCGAAGGGAAGGTGAGATTGGAGGAGGCAGAGGTGAGGGACGGCGGAGGGCACGTGGGAAAAGCCCCTGAGGCAGGAGAGCGCTTGTGCCAGAGCAAGATATCAAGGGCGTGCAAGACTGCTCCGCTGTGGCCGGAGGGCCTCCCTGACGGGAATGATGGCCGGGCCTAACACCGGAAACGTGATGAGCCATCCCAAGGTCTAAAAACAAAGCACTTGCCCCAAAGCATCATTTAACAGCAGTTGCAGGAGAACAGGATTTGGGGGTGTGGGGAGCAGGTGCTTAGTTGATCATGTGTGGGAAGCTGAAGGCTGTGCTGTCATGGCCAGAAACCTCACGGGCGACGGGGCCTCCCGGCAAAGGCGCTGCCTGCAGATCAGGGGAGGGGAGAGCGGGATGTGGGGCTCGAAGCTGCGTCATGTGAAGTCCTTCGGCGGGACCGGTGCGGTGCCGGGCTGCACTCGTTCCTGGGGCTGCCGTAGGTATCACAGATGCTGAATAGCAGAAACATATTGTCGCAGGGTACCAGAGGTCACAAGCCAGTCCGCGGGCCATGCTCCCTCTGAAGGCGCTAGGGAAGGGTCCCTTGCAGGCCTCTTTCCAAATTTCTGGAAGTTCCTTGGCTGATGGCTGCATAAGTGCCTAAGTCCAGTGTTCACATGGCGTTCTTTCTTCCCGTGTGTGTCCTCACATGGCCGCCCCTCTGGTCCTGTCTGTGCCCAGCCTTCCCTTTCATAAGGACGCGGCCATATTGAATGAGGGTTCGCTCTAACGACCTCATCTTTAACGTGGTCATCTGCAGGGAGCCTGTTTCCAAAGAAGGCCGCATTCACAGGCTCTGGAGGTTAGGACTTCAGCATCTTCTGAGAGAGGGGAACACGGTTCAACCCCCGCCACCACCCACCTGACATAGCCCCAGGCCAGCCCCACCACTGACCTTCACTCTGCTACATTTTATTCACCGCACTGGTCACAACCTGAAATTAGCTCCTTCAGTTATTTACCAAGTCATTGGTCCCCAGTAGAACCTCAGCACCGTGAGAGCGGCGGCCTTTCCTGTCTCATTCCCACCGTATTCCAGGCGCTGGGAGCCTGCCCATGGTAGGTGCCAGCATACTTTTTAATGAGTGGCCTAAGGGGCACCTGGGTGATTCAGTCAGTTGGGTGGCCGACCGACTCTTGACTTTGGCTCAGGTCATGATCTCATGGTTTGTGGAATCGAGCCCTGAGTCGGGGTCTGTGCCGATGGCATGGAGCTTGCTTGGGATTCTCTCCCCGCTCCCTCTCTTTCTGCCCCTCCCTGACTCGTGCGTGTTCTCTCTCTTTCAAAATAAATAAATAAACATTTAAATAATAATAATAAGTGACCTAATCTGGTCTGGATAAAAGGAAGCTCATGGATACAGGAACCAGAAGAGCCGTCTTGGGGCAGAAAGAGCAGCTTTGTTCTCTGTGGTCCACCAAGAGTGGGAAGACGTTATGGGGGGTCCCCATCCCGTTTACACGCTTTGCATGGCTTCTGGCATATTGAGAGCAATTAGTATTGTTATTCTTGCCTTAGGAGGTAGTGGGCTCCCCATCACTAATGGCATTCAAGCCCGATGACCCGTAGGCAGGAAGATAGAGTTAGACTGTATTAAGGATAAGGTTGGGCAATCTCTGAGGTGCTGCCAGCTTTGAGTGTCTCTGGTCCCATGAAGAAGAGCCCAGAGCGAGGGTCCCCTTATTACGGAGAAACTGAACAGAGTTTGGGATGTTCTAGGAAGCCTAGACAGCATGGCCTTGAACCCTAGATCCCCCAGAAGCTGCTTCTGGTGGGGGCACCGAGGAGCTGAATGGCTGGGTGGCTTTGGTGGAAGAAGTTTCCATTCTTCCAGGAGCACTTGAGCAGAGCAAGGGGCGTGACGCACCTGCTGACCAGCGTTGGGTGGTGCTGGCGGCACCAGGACCATCACGGCTGCAGGAACTGACTCACGACCTGCTCTGACACCCCCCCCCCGAGTAGTTTTGCCGGGCAGCCACCAGGCTGGACATCCCCCCTGAGTTCTGTGTGACCAGCCAGATGAAGCCCACACGTGCTGGGCAACGACCTGCCATATCTCGGGGCAGCAAGCCCGTCCCCGTCGTCAGCAGCGGTTAAGCACCTACTGTGTGTCCAGCGTGTAGGCAGACGGAACCCAACAGGCCCCAGTATGGACCATGAAGAGAGAGGGAGTCGTGAAGCCAGTGAGCACAGGGAACGGGTTGGCACATGAGTGACAGCGGGGAGCTCACCCAGAGCAGCAGCGAACGCAAGTCAGGGGGCAGAAGGCCGGTCCCAGCCCCGACCCTGCAAGTCACCTCTCCTCTCTGGCCCTCGGTGTCCTCTGTAAATGGGGGTCAGTAGGCTGGGGGCCCGTTGAGGGTTTCTCACTGTGGCAGTGCCGTCTGGGACAGGGCCGCTTCCTGGGCAGAGTCAGGTGGGAAGAACCTTAGGGAGCAGCAGGTCAGGGACCCCTCCCCCCCCCCCCCCCCCCCCCCCTGGCTGCTGCCCCTGCTAACCCGTCTTCAGGGCATGGCTGAAACCAAAATGGTGCCAAACAGGGAGCCCCGGGAACCAAACCTGAAGAAATGCAGAGGGAAGTGTCACATTCCCAAGGAATCTTTTTGAGAGCTAAAATAAACCCGGGGAAAGTCAGCCAAACTTTGCTTTTTCCTCTGAAAGTTTTTCATCTCTAGCCAATGCCTGTAGATCTCTAAATGCAGTCATTTAATGAGTAAGACAAACTATATATAATTTATATTTATATTCATTTAAATATACTATGTGATTATATATAATTAAAAATACACAGATAAAAATATATTATTTATACATAAATAAAAATATTTGTGTATATACATATAAATGTATATGTAAAATGACTTCATACCTGTAAAGAGTAATTAACTATGACTCTGTTTCTTTTCTTTTTTAACCAATATTGTCATCACTCATTCTCCAAAAATATCCCCTTGGCTTCAAAACTTCCAGAAGGTCAACTCTAATTTTCCTGACTCTTCCTGGCTGGCCAGGCTCAGCATTGGTGGTCCCACGAAGAGAAGGCCGTCCTTAGCTGCTCATACTTTGTCATAATTCCCTCCTGTTCTCCCAGGTGTTGTCACATTCATGGGCGGATACCCAGTGCCAGGAGTCAGGGCTGCCGAGATGGGCAGGACGCCAGCTCTGCTCTCAGGATCCCTCTGTCTGTTAGGATGTGTCATGTGTAATGGAGCCTGGAATGGGAGTTACTCACCCCATTAGGGTGGAGGGGGTATGGGAGGCTTCTTTTTTTTTTTTTTTTTTAAGTTTATTTATTTATTTTGAGAGAGAGGGAGAAAGAAAGAGAGCACAAGTGGGGGACGGGCAGAGCCCGATGCAGGGCTCGAACTCATGAACTGCGAGATCACGACCTGAGCTGAAACCAAGAGCTAGACACTTAACTGACTGTGCCACCTAAGTGCCCCTGAGAGGTCTCTTACAGTTGAGTTTAAGCCAGGTTCTGAGGCATGAATAGGAGTTCACCGGGTAAAGGAAGGAGCTTGAGCAAAAGCTGGCGGCGTAACAGAAGCGGCACCGCTGGGGACTGGCCATGGGACGCCGCCAAGGGCCTAGATCTCAGAACCCTGCTCCGAGGGAGCTGGGGGATGGCGGCGTTCCTGCCCAGCTTCCCCCTCTCTCTGCCCAGTGCCAGGGTAAGGCATTTCCCTCCATCCACCTGTGGACCCGGTTCCTGTCGGCCCTAGGGGGCCTCCTCTATGCCTCGGCCATCGTGGCCCATGACCGGCGGCCTGAGTACCTGCTTCGGGCCACACCCTGGTTCCTGACCTCCCTCGGCCGTGCTGCACTGGACCTCTCCGTATCCACACTGGGCCTAGGGGGCTTCACTGCTGGTGTCTCACCTCCCCACCCCGCCGACCCCTGCGGTGCCCCCCCTTCCCTATGACCTGATGCAGCGCTCTCCCAGGGGCGCCAGGGAGGAGGTTTGAAGGCTGGGGCAGTCGGATGCAATCACAGTCATTTGCTATTGTGTATTTTGTCCCCTTTGTATAGATCTGGAGAAATGATCTCTTGGCTGGGGCTCTGCGAAGCGGCAAGGGGGGCGTGCAGGCCCCGGGAGCAGACTCACGTTCTGCTCCTCACGTGGGCCGGTCCCCACCCTCCTGTGAACCTGCTCTCCTCACCATTGCGCTGTGTTTCTCACAAGGCTGGGAAGGGGCTTTGCGAGCTGACCTGCCTCGCAGGGGTGATCATCCCCTTTCCGTTGTGTTTGGCATTGGAGCCTTGGGCTGGGGAAGCAGAGATAAAAGCAGACAAGGGCCAGCCTTGGTCAAGGACTGCTGAGCACCTTTCTGGTTCCCCTGGGGAGGGGGGAGGGGTGTTGCCTGATGTCCTGACGCCCCAGTGACCTTGACCTGAGAACCTCAAGTGCAAGCTAAGCTCAGACAGTGGGTGGATAGAGAGGTGGACAGCGAGTAATTTGCGTATCAAGCACCTGTGGATTTATCATAAATAGTGCAGAAATAGTTAGAAACTGTGATTTCCCCTGGGCTGTATTCATTTTCTGGGGATGCCCTATTGAGTTGCCCAAAGTTGGTGGCTTGAAACACCAGAAATGTATTCTCACAGTTCCAGAGGCCACAATTCCGAAGTCCAGGCAGGACCATGCTCTCCCAGAAGCTGGGAGAGCATCTTCCCTTGCTTCTGCCTGTTTCTGATGGCCCCGGGTGCTCCTGGGCTCAGGGCAGCATAATTTTACTTTCTACCTCAGTCTTCCCATGATCTTCTTCCCTTCATGGAGCTCTGTGGGGCCACCCTAATCCACTGGGACCTCAGCTTAACTAATATCAGCAAACACCCTTTGTTTGTTTTTTTTTTAAGTTTTTATTTTTTTAAGGGGGAGATGCCTTTTTTCTTTTAAATGTTTGTTTTTGAGAGCAGGTGGGGGAGGGGCAGAGAGATGGGGACCGGGGATCTGAAGCAGGCCCTGCGCTGACGGTCCAAAGTTGGGCTCCAGCTCACGAACCATGAGATCATGGCCTGAGCTGAAGTCGGACGCTCCATTGACTGAGCCACCCAGGCGCCCTATAAAAATTTTGTTTTTAAGTGATCTCTACACCCAACATGAGGCTCAAACTCACAGTCCTGAGGGTTGTATGCTGTCCTGAGCCAGCCAGTTGCCCCAAGACCCTATTTTTTTCTTAAAAGTTTATTTATTTTGAGAGAGACAGAGACAGATTGAGTGGGGGAGGGACAGAGAGAGGGAGAGAGAGAGAGGATCCCACGCAGGCTCTGTGCTGCCAGAACTCACAAAACTGAGATCATGACCTGAGCCAAAACCGAGAGTCAGACGCCTAACCAGCTGAGCCACCCAGGTGCCCCCACCACCAGACCCTATTTTTAAAAAAATTTTTTTTAATGTTTATTTATTTTTGAGAGAGAGAGAGAGAGACAGTGTGAGTGGGGGAGGGACAGAGAGAGAGGGAGACACAGAATCCGAAGCAGGCTCCAGCCTCCAAGCTGTCAGCGCAGAGCCTGACGTGGGGCTCGATCTCACAAATTGTGAGATCATGACCTGATCCGAAGTCAGACGCTTAACCGACTGAGCCACCCAGGTGCCCCCACCCCGTCCCTATTTTTAAATAAAGTCACTTTCCGAGTTTCCAGGTGGATATGAGTTTGGGTGGCTAGGGAACACTATTCAGCCCACTCCATGTACTGTCCCTGTAAGCCAAGCCCTTCGAGGAATGTGTTTTTCAAAATGCTTTTGTTTAACAAGTATTTATGGAGTGCTCGTCAGGGGTGCGCCCTCGTCGGGGGAAATGTAGGGGAAGTCAGACCTGGCTCTGTTCTTAAATGACTAATGTCTATTCTGGGGCCCATCCAGGCTGGATCTCTAGGGAGAGAGAGAGTCCTGGGGGTGCAAAGGCGAGGGTAGCCCTGGGTGGCTGAAATGCTGTGCTCTTTTGGACCTTAACTCTACCTCTCAGATCATTTTCCTTTCCTGGGTGATGAAGAGCAAGATGAGACGGGCCTTGGGGTTTGCCCCAGAAGCCAGAGAGTGCCCCGACACCCAAGCCCTTTTGACCTGCGCAGAGAAAGAGGAAGAAAGCCAGGAGGCAAGGTCTCACCGCCCGGAAAACTGTGGGGCCCCCCTGGCATCCACACAGAATGCTGGGGGTCCCACAAGCCAGGACAGTTGGTCACTTTAAAATACTACTATTTTTTAGGGAGAAAAAAACCCCTACTGTTTATGCCCAGTGCTAAAGGTACCCTGAATAAATAAGGCCACTTTCCCAATGACAACATAGCTTTCATCGTGTTTTTTTTTAAATCATTTAATAAGCTTTAATGTATTTTGAGCAATGTAGATGAGACAGTTAAATGTCCACTTATGCTATTTAGTAATTGACTTCCTTATATATATAAGTTCACATACTATATAAATTAATTGGCTAATTTAGAGATAATACGATTTACCCTCATATTTCATAAAAACATGTATTCATAGTTTCACATGCGCCTTTGACTTCCACGTCGCCACCATCACTAACACAGCCCTTTTCTTCCGTTGATCTTGCCAACAAGCTGATCGTTAAAGGTGTGTTTACAGTAACGTCCGCCACTTACATCGTACCAGCAAACGTGTCTGTCTCCTTTTACTGATTTGAAAAGGTGACCTGAGTAGGCAGAGCTTATTCTAACTGTGTCAAAAGCCCTTGGTTCCAAAAAGCTGAGAAATTACTTCATAAAGCAAGAGTGCTAGTAAGGACTTAAACATAAGGCAGCTCCCTCTTTTCGAAGATAATTTCTTGAGGAAAAAATTGCTCACCTATTACCTGGGCTCCGCACTGTCCTCGCTTTTTCCTTCCGGAGAAAGTGAGTGAGTGAACCGGGTCCACCCTCCGAATGCTCTAGGTTTAGCAATGTAATCTGGCTGAGTTAACCAAACGGAAGATAGTGGTGGGCATGGCCAAGGCAAAGGGGTTTATGGAAGAGCTTGGACCTTCCCATGAAGCCTCTAATGGGAGGTTATTTTCATGCCCTTCTAGAAACTTGTAAAATCACATCCCCAAAAGGAACTAAAGTATTTAAAGAGAGAGAGCCCTGTGTGTCCTTCTGAAGGGACTTTGCAATGGCTTCTACAGTTCTTTACCAGCGGTGGTTTTCAACGTGAGGTCTCCGGACCAGCATCGCCTGGGAACTTGTAGGAAGTGCAATTCTAGGGCTCCATCAGCTCTACCAAATCTTAAACTGAGGGTGTTTTGTTTTGTTTTGTTTTGTTTTGTTTTTTAAGTTGCTGAGACAGAGAGAGAGAGAGCCAGCCAGCGTGAAGGGAGGATCAGAGAGAGAGAGGGAAATACAGCATCTGAAACAGGCTCTAGGCTCTGAGCTAGCTGTCAGCACAGAGCCCGATGTGGGGCTCGAACCCATTAACTGTGAGATCATGACCCGAGCCAAAGTTGGACGCTTAACCAACTGAGCCACCCAGGCGCCCCTGTTTTTTTTTGTTTGTTTGTTTTTGTTTTTTAGCTTTGTTTTATTTACTGAGAGAGAGAGAAAGAGCAGAGGAGGGGAGAGAGGGGGAAAGAGAGAATCCCAAGCAGGCTCTGCGCTGTCAACTCAGAGCCTGACATGGGGCTCAATCCTAAGACAGATCATGACCTGAGCCGAAATCAAGAGTTGGATGCTCAACTGACTGAGCCACTCAGGCGCCCCAAACTGAGGGTGTTTTAATAAGTGCACTGGGTGCTTCTGATGCACAGTAATGTTTGAGAACCATTGCTTCACAAAAGCACTTAGCACCTACTGCAGTCATTCCCAAACTTTGCCGTACATTAGAATCATCTGCGATGGGCGGGGGAGGGGGGGCACTTTTAAACTCTCCAGGTCACATCCATACCAGTTAATCAGGATGTCTACTGGGAGAGCTAAACATCAGTTGTTTTGTTTCCTGAGATGTCCAGGTGACTCCACTGTGCAGCAAAGTTCGGGAACCACTGACCTACTGTGGCCTCAAAGAAAGAGATAAGATACATCTAGAAGGAAGCAGAAAGTGAACTAGATGGGCCATGAGAGAACAGAAATAATATTTTAGAGATCCTTTTGAAGAAAATGGGATCTTGTTTTTAGAACAAGTCTCCTGACTAAGAATTCTCCTTTTTATCTCCTCGTCTGCACTGGAAAGAATTCAGATTGGGTGCCTCTCACCACACTACCGCCCTGCACATCACTCAGGACAATGGCAGCCATCAGTCGCTACATGGAGCTGACCATCGAGCCCGTGCAGCAGGTGAGCAGCGGGAGTCCAGAGGGGTGGGATGTAGTCATGGAAGGCTTCCTGGAGGAGGTACCGCTTTAGCTGCGGGATGGGCAGGATGAGGCAGGAGAGCATGTCAAAGGAGGACGGAGCTCTGCAAGGCCTCAGTGGGTGACAGATGAAAGGGTGGAGAGGAGGCAAGGGACAGATCCTCATTCTGTGTCACCTGACCGTCATCCTGAGGGACAGGAGTCCAGGAGGCATCGGGACTAGAGCCTCAGGGTCAGATGTGCCTTTTAGAGGTGTCACTAGGCAATGTTGGGGCGCAGGCCGAGGCAGAGGAGGCAGAAACAAGGCAGTCAGTGAGGGGCGCCGATAAGTCAGGAGAGAGGTGGTGTGGCCTGAAGCCAGAGCAAGGCTGCGGCAGGCGGAGAGGCGGAGACCGAGTAGGGGGTTGGCGGGCGGAGCGCTGGGGGCATGAGGGCGCACGGTGAGGAGGCCGAGGGCCCCGCGGGGGCCTGGCCTGCACACAGGGCTTCCCAGGAGGAAGAACGATAGAGGAGGAGGGAGGGAGAGAGCTGATGGGAAGTCCGCCCCGTCGCCACACCCGCTGCGCCTTCTCGGGAGGTTTCCAGTGACCTCCAGGTCACTGAGTCCTGGGTTAGTTCTGGCCTTGTTGAGATTCAACATGCTTGGCCACCGGCTGCTTCTGGTTTAGGGGGCGCTCATGCGCCCAGCTCCCCTTGCTTTCCTCCCCTCGGTGTTCAGTCCGGGCAGCGTCCCCACATGGCATCTCACACTAGCGGTGTCCAAGCACAACGTGGGATTCCCATGCCCTCCCCCTCCCCCACCCTCTTCATCTCAGGAACTCCTCTCGCCCCCTCAGTGCAGGCCTACGCCCACCCAGTCCCGTGTGTGGGTCTCCCATTTACTGGCTGTGAAATAGATCTATCGGCCTCGTACCTCCTTTCCTTCTCTGCTGTTTGTTTTTTAATTTTTTTTTAGATTTATTTATTTTTGAGAGACAGAGAGACAGAGCATGAGTAGGGGAGGGGCAGAGAGAGAGGGAGACACAGAATCCAAAGCAGGCTCCAGGCTCTGAGCTGGCTGTCAGCACAGAGCCCGACGTGGGGCTCGAACCCACGAACCGTGAGATCATGACCTGAGCGAAGTCGGATGCCCAACCGACTGAGCCACCCAGGCGCCCCCCTTCTCCACTGTTAATCTTGTCCCAGCCCTGTCACCTGCACCCACCAGCCAGGAGGGGTGATTCCACTGCGTTCCTCCTTGGCTTGAAACCCTCTGGCTTCCCATTTCCTACAGAAGAAACTCGAACATGACACAGACTTGCAAGGGCCCAGAGCCGAGCCCGCCCTCCCTCTCTGACTGTGTCCTAGCCTCTTCTCTCTGCCTTCACTCCTCCAAGCTGCCTGCGATTTCTCTCCGTTCCCGTGCCTCCAATGCTCTTCCTCCCCATTTTTTTATATGGCTGCCTCCTTCCTCTCCTTCAGCCTAAATGTCCCCCTCTCCAAGCCACCCCCGGCTGCACACTCAAAAGTAGCCTGCACCCCTCTGTCATATTTCTCTATCTTAAATGTGACTTTTTATTTAAAAAATTTTTTAATGTTTTTTTTATTTATTTCTGAGAGAGAGAGACAGCGTGAGAAGAGGAGGGTCAGAGAGAGAGGGAGACACAGAATCCTAAACATACTCCAGGCTCTGAGCTGGCTGTCCGCACAGAGCCCGATGCGGGGCTTGAACCCACGAACTGTGAGATCATGACCTGAGCCAAAGCCGGACGCTTAACCAACTGAGCCACCCAGGTGCCCCTTAAATGTGCCTTTTTAAATGCTCTGCAAAGCACGTCTGTCTTTTCCTTTTGCCGGCTGTCTGTCTCCTGCGGGGGTGCACACTTTGCCTCCTATCTTGTCTGCCTAGACCCCGGGGCGTCGGGCCACGGGCCCCCAGTAAAGGCCGTTTGGAACGTGGCATGCAGTTCCGTGGCAGGAGCCCCCGCTCAGCTTCCCAGGGGACGTCCGGTGCAGAGAGGGTTTGGGCCTGAGTGCTAGGTTTCAGTCCTTGTGGTTCCTTGGAACGTGGGTGCAGGTGACGCTAGGCGACGGAGGAGGCGCTCAGAGAGATTCCGAGCAGCTTTCACAGCTGAGGGCCCGTTCCGGCCGTTACACCCGTCTCAGGATGGGGCGTCTGGGGAAAGCACAGGGAACCCGGCAGCGTCCGGCCTGTTGCACCAGCAATTTTCAAATCCTCGAACTTCTGAAAACCAATAGTGCAGAACCGGCATTCACTCTAACCCAGGACCGAATCTTGAATGGATTCTCCCTGCAGGACAGACAGACTCCTCGGAAGAAGAGTGTGTCCCCCTTTTTCATTCTCTTCATTCATTGGCGTTTTTGAGCCAATACTTGCACGTGGCCTCTTCCTTCCTTGTCCACCAGAGGGCGAGTGGTGTCCCTGAGACAGCTCCCAGCAGGGAGCCTGCAGCCTGGCCGGCTCCTTCCAGAGCAGTCTGTTTATTGAGGACTAACTACTTGCCAGTCTCTGAGAAAATAATAACAGGCACACTTCCGTGATGCTTCTGGTGCTGGGCTTAGTGCTTAGAGTGCTGCTCTACGTGCTTGGTATCCACAAACTCATGGAAACCTCGCAGCCAACCCCTGAGGTATAACCTCCTTTTACAGATAAGGAAAATGAGGCGCAGAGACATGAAGCAACTTGCTCAAGGTCACATAGTTTGTCAGTGGCAGAACCAGGATTCAGAGTCTATGCCCTTGACCACAGTGCAGCCCTGCCTCTTGCTTGGCATAATGTCTGACACCGAGTAAGCACTTGATACATAGTTGGCTTATTAAAAATTATTATTAATGCAAATTCTCATAGGTATGATTCTTTCTATTGTTATTATCTAATAATAATTGTATTGGGGTTTTAAATTGATGCATAGAGAAAGTTAACTCGCCCAGAATCTCTTAGTTTAAAAAGCATAGGAATGGGTTTCAGATAAATCCGGTCTGATTCATAAAGAGAGCATGTTTGGGGCGCCTGAGTGGCTCTGTCAGTAAAGCATCCAACTTCGGCTCGGGTCGTGATCTTGCAGTTTGTGAGTTCGAGCCCCATGTCAGGCTCTGCTGACAGCTCAGAGCCTGGAGCCCGCTTTGGATTCTATGTCTCCCTCTCTCTCTCTCTCTCTGCCCCTCCCCACTTGCACTCTGTCTCTCTCTAGAAAACAAACATTAAAAAACAACAACAACAAAGCAAGAGATTGGAAATGCCCTCAACGTCCATCAGTAGAGAGAGGACAGGTTAAGCAGATTGTAAACATTTCCATGCTGCCACAAAAGAAACAAAAAAGAAAAACAAGAGCCGCTGCTCTAAAACTACCTCTAGGACATATTGGTACCTGAGAAAAAGAAAGGTGCACAGGAGAGTGTAGATGTGCAAGCAGCCTTTGGGGAACTAGGGGATTCAGATGGGAGCAGACCTTGCATTCTACACCCTTTTGTACCCTTTTTATTTTTTTTTAAATTTTTAATGTTTTATTTATTTCTAGGAGAGAGAGACAGCGTGAGCAGGGGAGGGTCAGAGAGAGAGGGAGTCACAGACTGAAACAGGCTCCAGGCTCTGAGCTGGCAGTCAGCACAGAGCCCAACGCGGGGCTCGAACCCACGAACCGCGAGATCATGACCTAAGCGAAAGTCGGACGCTTAACCGACTAAGCCACCCAGGCGCCCCTGTACCCTTTTTAAAAATAAACGTTTATTTATTTATTTGAGAGAGAGCGAGAGAGCAGCAGAGGGGCAAAGAGAGAGGGAGAGAGAGAATCCCAAGCCGGCTCTGCACTGTCAGCACAGAGCCCGATGTGGGGCTGGATCCCATGAACCCTGAGATCATGACCTGAGCCGGAATCAAGAGTCCAAGCTCATCCCACTCGGCCACCCTTTCGTACCTTTTGAACCAGCGTTATGTGAATGCTCGACAGTTCAAAACTGAAGTAGGCTAAGTCTCCCTGCCTGCCCTTCCCCCCTCCCCTTGCAGGCAGGCGGCAGCACCACCAGGCTGCCCGGCGATGGACAGAGGGGCCCCGCAGACGCGAACCAGCAGGAGCCGCCCTCGTACCCTCCCGTCCGGGTCATCCGGGCCCGCGTGTCTTCCAGCAGCTCCTGCGAGGTCTCCTCCATCAACTCCGACCTCGAGGTACACGCTGCTGGCCGCCGGGTGCACGGCTGCGCTGTCCCGACGCTTGCGGGCGCTTGCACGGCGCATGCGCTGCTGCGCTCCCCGCCCACGCCCGCCCCNCCCCCCCCCCCCCCCCCCCCCCCCCCCCCCCCCCCCCCCCCCCCCCCCCCCCCCCCCCCCCCCCCCCCCCCCCCCCCCCCCCCCCCCCGCCTGCGGCGCAGCGAAGGGGCATGCGCGGGGCGTGCGCGGGGCGTGCGCGGGGCGTGCGCGGGGCGGCCTACGCGGGGCGGGGCTGAGAAGAGGGTCCCACCGTCAGAGGAGTCAGGGCTGAGGAGAGGTTACCGTGGTCAAACGCGTCCGCGAAGTGCTGCGTGTCCCGGCCCCGTGTTAAAGAGTCACGCGCGCGCTCAGGCCTTACAGAAGGAAACACACTGTAGTTAACGTGTATTAGAGTCTGGGTGTTCCCCAAACCCACGTGAGCGTGGAGCGTCCCTCCCGTGAGAAGGAGCACCAGCCACACCTGCGGTGCCCTCGGGGTCGGACCCCTTGCCTGGCGCTTTCACCGACGTCACCTCGTTTTGAGTTTCTGGCTCTGTGAGCAAGACACACGGCCTATCTTGGATGCCAGTACCGGGTGTAACTCTCCGGCCGAGCGGCTCGGCCACTGCCCGCCGCCCTGTTGTGTGAAGAAGTTTCCCGTTACGGAAAACGAGGGCAGGGACGGGGTAGTGGGCACGTGGTGTCGTCAGGGTGTCCGCTGTCTTTTGAAGGGGGTGGGCGGGGGAAAAGGACAGCGCTTCGCCCTGGGCTTGTGTCCTGTTTTGGAGGTCCAATGCGCTTTTATGGAATGATGGTAATACTAAGGGGGTGGTTGGTGTTGAGTTTCGGGTTTTGGTTTTAATGGCCTCATGTTGCAAAAACAGTCACTTCGCCATCTTGGAGAAGTCCCCGAAGTTTGTCGGACTCGATGTGAATCCCCAAATGCAAAAGTCTCAGAGCCACTGATCTGTGGGAGCAAGTCCCGATTCCTTAGTACGAGGTTCTAGACCTTTCACAACTACCCCAGCCTCACGTGTCTCTCCCCCCCCCCCCCCGCACCCGCCCTTACTTAGCTGTCCACCTTGGCCGTGGACCGTTCCCTGTACCCAGGCCTCTGGGCCTTTCTTCCTGGGGTTTTCCCTGGCCCGCATGTCAGTTTCTCTTTCCACGTGTCAGAATCCTACTCAGATGCCACACTCAGATGCCACCTGCTGTGTGAAGTTACTTTGATCCCTCTCTCTCTCTCTCTCTCTCTCTCTCTCTCTCTCTCACACACACACACACACGATCAATGGCTCCTTCCCTTGGGTGCCAGGGCACACCCCTCTCTTATACAACTTCCATTGTTTGCCGTGTCATCTGGGGAGCTGTAGCAGCTTGTCCCCCCTGCTGGGAGTAGGGTCTGAGCCACCTTCACCTTCCTCTGCCCCTCGATTCCTGAACACGGCTGGCCATCGAGAGCTGGATTGTGAGGGAGCAGTTCTGCACCAGACTGAGGACCCTTTGAGGTCCGTGTATCCCCATGTCACTCGGTGTTGTTTATTTCTTGGGTCCAGTCTCAGAATCTGTACTACACCAAGCGCGCGCAGCTTGGCAGCCTGGATCCAGGCAGAGATCTAAGGTTCAAGGGGAAAGAATGAACCTGATGACAAAAGTGTGTTCCGTGAGGAGAAAAGACAGTTAAGTCAGTGAGTCAGGGAGGGGCTGGGGAGACCCAGAGGCAGTACTTGCTCTGTGGAAACAAGAGCAGCAAACGCTGAGGTAAGGATTAGCCTATGACCTTGAAAAGTTCAGAGATGTGTCTTGGTGGCAGGTTTATGCCCTTCCGTGAGCTCTGGTCCTTGTCCTTCCTTCTATTATCTCTATCTTTTTAGACATCGATGTTTTTAAAACTCAGTAAGTTCCAAGGGGACAGGGTCACACTTTTAAATAAGGCAAATGGGGGACACCTGGGTGGCTCAGTCAGATGAGCATCAGAGTCTTGATCTTGGCTCTGGTCATGATTTCATGGTTCGTGGGAACGAGCCCTATGTTGTCTGTGCTGACAGCACAGAGCCTGCTTAGGATTCTCTCCCCCCCCCCCCCCCCTCTGCTCCCTGCCGCCCCAAGTAAATAAATACACATTAAAAAAAATAAATTAGGCAAATGGAAATGAAGGCTTTTGCCCATGCCAACAGGAATGTATTTTCAGAAGGTCACCTGCCCCAGCTGCACAGTCCTCCAGCCCCACTCCCTGAAACACACACACACCCTATAAGTGACAAAGCCATTGAGGCCTGTACAGAAATAACTTTGAATTTCACCAAATATGTACACTGACAGATCAAACGGGATTGGAAAGCTTTCAGTACAGATGACTTAATATCTGAGCAGGAGACAGGGTAGGAATGTGATCCATTGGGCTTTTTAGTTCTCTGTATTTTCTGTTCCTAAAAGTAATACGCGTTTGTTGTGGAACGTTTGGAAAACATAAAGAAGATAATTGAAATTGTCCTACAAGCCTATCAACCAGCGGCTGCCTCTGGGTGGGGGAGTGTTCTGAGCTTAACAGCCTCCCTTATTTTTTGAAGCAATATTCCTTAAAGATCCGAGTTCATTTATGGCTGTGCTTGAGCAAGAAGGTATCTCTTGGCAGGTGAGTGTAACGTGGCACTTTACCTGTCTTCTTGGTCACTTACTCAGCAAGTAATTTCTGAGCATGGGAATCGGAAAGAAAGATGCGTGAAGGGTGGCCCGAGTTCACCGCACAGGGTGGAAGGCATTCGGTAAAAAAGTCGCAGACAAGAGCATTACCTAAGGGACTGAGCATGGGGACCAATGCCAGGGGACTAGGTTAGCACTGCCTCTGGCTTATGACCTCTCTTGCTCCCAGGATTGGCACTGGGATGAGACATCGTGGCATCCGTCCCCACTCTCGGGCTGCACACCCTGCCCGTCTCTCCTGGACTCCCCAGAGGGGGGCTTCTGTGCCCTCAGCCACCCCGCCCTGCCTGTGTCTGTCTGGTCAGCTTCTGCTTCCGGTCGTCACCTTAGGCTCCTAAAGTGAATGCTTCCCAGCTCCCACTGCGGAGACCCGGGGGCCACTCAGTGTCCTGAAAGTGATGTGTTTATCTCTCCTGGGGTCCTTTATGATTTTGTAACTAAACTCTTAGATGATGGTTTTATGTCCGCATCCCTGGGGCACAAACCTATTGGTGTGAACCCCACGTCCTGCAGCCGGGGAGGTGGAGGAATGGGCGGAGCCAAAACCCGCAGCGCTCTGGTTCGCCCAGTGCGTGTAAATCCATTAGTAAGAATGACAGCACTCACTGCTGACATTGAGGGCGTGCGTGTCACGTGCCAGACCCTGTGTGTTCCGTGCTTTAGGAGCGCTGTTTGGTGTAATCCTCGCAACAGCCCTGAGGCAGGTACCTTTGTTATTCTTGTTTTCCAGAAGCCGGACTGGAATTCGGTGAGTTTAAGTAACTTGCCCAAGAAAACATTAATAATAATAGTAGAGGCATCTGGTGGCTCAGTCGGTTAAGCATCCAACTTGGGCTCAGGTCATGATCTTGCGGTTCGTGGGTTCGAGCCCGCGTTGGGCTCTGTGCTGACAGCTCAGAGCATGGAACCTTCCTTCAGATTCTGTGTCTCCCCCTCTCTCTGCTCCTCCCCTGCTCATGTTCTGTCTCCCGATAATAAATAAAAGTGTTAAAATTAAAATAATAATAATAATAATAAAAATAATAGGTGGCAGACCAGGGGTTTGAACCCAGCTCTTGTCTGGCTCTGAAACCCCTGTTGTTAACCGCTCCTCTCCACTGCCTTGGCAGGGACTCATGCCCAGGGAGGTATGCAGGACCAGGCTTACTATTACCCATCATTCCCATTTTACAGATGAGAAAATGGACTCTCTTTCCAGGACTCTTGCCATTCACCAGTGCCCTTATACACAGGATAAAACGCGGGGGTTTGTAAGTAAATCCAGTGATAGCAGAACAGGAGAAAGGCCAAGCCAGAGACAGATAAGGCCGGGCAAGCTCGCACAGAGGGAGAACTTGGATTAGTTTTGCCCTTCCCCAAGTGTCCAGGGCTGGGCCGGTCAGGGCACCAGAGGGGTGACATTGGAGCTTTCACTGTGACCCATGGCCCTGTAGAGAGGCCATTTGTCTGGACCGTGTGGACTTCTGGATGTCTGCACACGAGATGGCTCACTCCACAGCTCCTGGATCCACTCGCTCATCCCCTCACTCGCCCAGTCAGCACAAGGCAGCTCCGCCCCTGGGGTCCCCTGCGGGCCAGGGCGTGCTGAACAGGTGTCCCCGTGGTCTGCCGTGGGGGCCGGGGCCCAGAGGGAGGAGGGCTTTCCAGAGTGGCCTCCTCGCTGTCCAGAGCAGCCAGCACCTTTGTGTTGAGTGCCGGGTGGACTTTCCTCCAGTGGTGAAACCGTTCCTGTGCCTTTTAAAGGCTTTTTCTTTTTGCCTCTGGGATGCGAGCAAAGATTTGAGTCCCACTTTGTGGTGCAAGAGGGCTTAGTCATTCTCCCTGCCGTGCTTCCTCCAGTGCCGGAGACCTGGTGGTAGAAGCTTTGTAGGAATTTTGCAAGAAGGCTGTTTCTGTCGTTGGAACAGAGTCTGTGTTGTGTGTACATGTGCGGAGGATGAGGAAAGGGCCGAACCCAGATTGCTGTCTGTGAAGGTCAAGTCCCTGTGTGTTCGTGCTAATTCTGTGCCTACGTCTCTTAACAACCAAGATTGCTCGTTCCTTCTCCAAACCCTGCCTCCAGCACCCGCAGACCAGGACACGTTCCTTTGGATGTTTGTGATTCTTAAATCTGAATCATTCTTTTAAGGAAAAAATTATATACATATACATACATATATGTGTATTATATATGTATATATGTGTGTATATATGGATATATGTTTATATGCATATATAATACATAAAATATATACTATATATGTAATAAAATATATTTAAGTAAAAAGATTTTAAAT